CGTCTGCGGACTGCTTTTGCAGTGAAAAATGAGGGTTTTCCAAACGAAGCAAAAAAAATGCCAAAAGGCAATGATAAAGATAATTAGAGCATTGGTGCCTGTTAGAAATACATAGTTAGAAATGGCTAAATAATTTAAAAGCAGAGCCCCCCCCCAAAATAAAATTTAAAAAGCAAAAACTTGATTCATTTGCTAGCTTAGGGAAAGGAGTGCAAGGCAACGCCAGATCGTGCCAATGAATAAAGAGAACCATTAATGTTTTTGGAAAATAAAATAAAGACAATGGAGGAAAAAGCTCCCAGTTCAGCCTGTATAATAATTCCTCATTTTACTCCTCTTGCAATTTCTCAGGAGAAGCAATATTCGAAGGGGTTCATTTAACCCAACTACGGTGGACCGTTTTATTTCTGCGATAAAGATGATGCATTTTTTTTCCCTAGACAAAATCAAGGGTGCTAGGAAATAATGTTGTCCCCTAAGGCCATTTCTAAGCTCGTTTTCTCGTTAGTTAGATTAGCAAAAGGGCCAGACCAGTCAAGAGGTCTTCTTTTGGCTCCAATTAGAGCTATCTCCATTAGCCGATAAAGCCGAAGAGATTTGCTTACCCTGAGCCTCTTTGGAGGATGCCAAGATTTGTTTGCATGAAGGACAACAGATGGTGGTAGAAGAGAAGGGAAATGAAACAGCCAGAAAATTGAATCAAGAGATTTGTGGTGTGTGTGTGAGTTTGTGTGTGTGTGTACAGAAACACAAAGGGCATATTAATTTCCTAGTCTTTGGTTCTCCTTCATCGGCCAGCTTGATTCCCTGGACACAGAGATGGCTTTGTGAAGCCACATTTCTAAACACATTTGACCTGGATCGCATCTGTTTTTTGGTGCTGAAAAATCACCTCTTTCTCATGGGCAAGGGATCTGTTGGACATAGCAGGCAGAAGGACCTAACCTGATCATCTAACCTGGTTGTCTTCTTTTCTTTCAGTTTTCCCATCATCACAGCCTTCTTCAGAGACTTGGGTCTTCACATAATATACCCAAAGGAGGATAGTTTGAGCCTGGTCATTTGTATCTTGAGCAAGAATTTTAAATTCGATGATCCATGAGTTGTTTTCTTGGCTGTCCATGATCATCTCAAGAACCTTCTTCAATCACCAAAGATCAAAGGCGTCAATACTCTTCCTATCTTGCTTCTTCAAAGTCCAACTTTTGCTTCCCTATACTATCAAAAAAACATACAATGGCTTACACAGTTGAGATCTTGGTAGCTATAGGCACATCACAGCATTTGGATATCTTTTTAAGGACTTCACAGGTTACTCTATCGTTAAGCTGACCAACCTCAAATACGCACCTTTGGAGATGCTCCTTATGGACTGCAGTTCTGGGAATTGACACCAGGGGGCAGAGGCAATAATCAAATAAAATGATTTATAACTAGAGATGTGAAGTCCAGCCTAGTATTTTGGTAGAGAAAGTATATCTTCAGAAGAAGATAACAGCAGGAGTCTTGCATTCACAAAGAAGCAGCTAAACTTTGGAAGCTGGCAACAATTCAGGTTTCAAAATCCTAGATTGGATTGTTTATTTATTTAGATCTGTTGAATCTAACTTAATCCTCTCTTTTGTCCTTACCGACACAGAAAAAAAGCATATGACTTTCCAAAAAGTTGTATTCCCACCTAGTGCTAAATCCAGTCCTTTAACCAAGGGTTGAATTTTTTTTCCCTCCAGGCCCTATTCTGTGGTTTTAATACGTTTTTATGGTTGCATTTTGTAAGCTGCCCAGAGTTGTGCCGAATTGTGGTGATGTAGAGACGTGTGTGCGAAACACACTGTAAATCTCATGAATCAATAAATAGGATTAGCAGGCAGATTTTAGCATTTGAATATGGAATTGCACTGAGAATGTAAGCAAGCAACCTTCCTGGGTTTTTGCAACATCTGTTGTGAACGTCTTGAAGAATATGGCTCTAAAATGTTTTCTCCTCGAGAACTTTTCTTAAGAATACCAAAGAAACTTGGCTTATGATTTCCCCCCCCCCCCAAGCCCTAGTCATAAGGAATGACGAAGGTGTATTTCCTTCAGCTTTTGCAGCTCCAGGTGTTAATAAACCCCCATCTGGCAAATTTAGCTGTTTTTCACTAAGTTAATTGCAACTATTTTATTCTCGGATCAGCATAGGAGGAAGCTGTAAAAACAAAAAACCTCCTTCCCTGATGCAGTTTTTAACCTTTACAAATCGCAGGGAAAGATTTGCGCTCTCTGTCCCTCTCTTTACGATCAATCGTCGATGCGTGGATTTTATTGTATTTATATTCTACTTCCTTTTGCCAGGTGAGGTAGCATCAGAGTCACCTTTGATAGTGAGATGGGCTGCTTATAAATGTAATAAGATAAATGGCTTTTAGTCCTTCCATGAATCCAGATAATAACAGCCACTGGTATAAAACTGGACTAAGTAAAAAAAAACAAAACAAAACCCCATTTCCATTTGTAGAATGGACCTCGACTTACAACAGTTCATTTAGTGACCGTTTGAAGGCACAGAAAAAAGTGACTTTAGGACCGTTTTTCACACTTATGACCATTACAGCATTCCCCTGGTTATGTGATCAAAATTTAGATACTTGGCAAGTGACTCCCATTGATGACGGTTGCTGTGTCCCATGGTCACGCGAACCTCTTTTGTGACCTTCTGACAAGCAAAATCCATGGGGGGGAACCGGATTCATTTAACAACCATCTTACTAAATGAACTGCAGCGATTTCACTTAATAACTGAGGCAGGAAAGGTCGTAAAAGGAGGCAAAACTCACTTGGTCCCCAATCCAAAATTGATTGGGACGATTAAGTACACCATGTCAAGGTAATAATTTAACAGCTAACCAGCTTGCATAATGTGAGGTGTATGATGTAATGATGGGAATGACTCAGCAGGGTCTGTGTCCCTTTAAGAGCCAGCTGGGTCTGTGTCTCTTTAAGAGCATTTGTATAAAAGGAAGACTCCATCGCTATGTTTTCTCTCTTCTGTTTTCCTGCTGTGACTGCTGTGTGTTGAATCCTGCTGTATTAACCCATGTATGTATATTGTATGATATTGTAAATAGGGTAATATAAACCACCATTTAATACAAGCCACTGTTTACTGTGTTTACTCCTGGGTTATCCCGCGCAATAAGACTGTGCACGCTCCGACACACCATGATGCCTGAGAATGGAGGGAGGGAACTTTAGCCCACCTACCTGGAAAAGGGGACATTGGCTTGACTCTTTGGCCTTGAGGCTGAAGGAAGTTCCTCCCCCCCCCTCTTAAAAAGAAAAGCTGGCCACTAAGTTTATTGAACATTGGAAGGTGAGGTTATTTCTCTTAAGGGACACCCAGGGGATTACGCTTGTCCACCTGGAAATGACCTCTGACTTCTCCCACCATTCCCCCTCCCAGCACCTTGTGAGTTCTGCCATTATCCTACCGTCTGCTTCAAGAGATGCTGGTTGCCCTGGCAACCACTTCCGGGTTTTAAAAATAGTAATGTCTTTTTTCATTCAGCTCCTTCTCCTGCCCTTACAACCAAGGCTTATTTTTTTTTTTTTATCATGCCAGTTTATTCCAGGTCTTGGTGCCCTCATCCAGATGGGACAGCTTTGGTTGTTCTCTAGGTTCCGGATGCATCCGTTTGTTTTTTGCAAAACCTGTGGATATTGTCACCCAGTTACCAGGCACTCAGCTGGAGATTGTAGCCGAAAGCTGATTGTGGCTTCTGAATACAAACCTAGGTTTCCCCTTAGACTTTTTCACAAGGTTCTGCCCATTGTTTGCTGGCTTCTATCCTCATTCTATCATTTTTTTTCCTACTTCATGCAAAGCTCCATGGTCTCTCTTTTTATAAAAAAAAAATGGCACACAGTTGACTAAAGACTTCATCTATCTTGTAGAGTCAATCAACCATTGTTGTGTTAATTGAGAACCGGTGTTAGGTCACTTCAAGGATGGCTGAGCTCCCACTGTGAAGGAGCTATAAATCCCGGTCAGGGTCAGTTCTATTTCCCAAGCAAATTTCTGTGAAGTCCAGGCCCAAGAGTTAAATAAACTTTCAAGATAAAAAAAGGAATCAGCTGTTTGGTTTGGGTTTGTTGGGGGATAATAGAATAGAATAGAATAACATAGCATAGCATAGAATAGAATAGAATAGAATAGAATAGAATAGAATAGAATAGAATAGAATAGAATAGAATAATGGGAATAAAAAAGAATAGAATAGAATAGAATAATGGGAATAGAATAGAATAGAATAATGGGAATAAAAAAGAATAGAATAGAATAGAATAGAACAGAATAATGGGAATAGAATAGAATAGAATAATGGGAATAGAATAGAATAGAATAAAATAGAATAGAATAGAATAGAACAGAATAGAATGTGGAATAGAGAACAGAATAGAGAATAGAATAGAATATAGAATAGAATAGAATAGAATAATGGGAATAAAAAATAATAGAATAGAATAGAATAATTGGAATAGAATAGAATAGAATAATGGGAATAAAAAAGAATAGAATAGAATAGAATAGAATAGAACAGAATAATGGGAATAGAATAGAATAGAATAATGGGAATAGAATAGAATAGAATAGAATAGAACAGAATAGAATGTGGAATAGAGAACAGAATAGAGAATAGAATAGAATATAGAATAGAATAGAATAGAATAATGGGAATAAAAAATAGAATAGAATAGAATAGAATAATGGGAATAGAATAGAATAGAATAATGGGAATAAAAAAGAATAGAATAGAATAGAATAGAACAGAATAATGGGAATAGAATAGAATAATGGGAATAGAACAGAACAGAATAGAATGTGGAATAGAGAACAGAATAGAGAATAGAATAGAATATAGAATAGAATAGAATAGAATAGAATAATGGGAATAAAAAAGTAGAATAGAATAGAATAATGGGAATAGAATAGAATAGAACAGAATAAGTTGAGGGCTACCTTTGCTCAAGCGTCATTTTTATTGCTTTCGATGTCCTGGATTGTGGACCGGGATGTAATTGGGTCTCAGGAGATTTAGCCGGGCAGCTTGGAAACAGCATCAATCAGAAGAGGAGACCCGTATTATCTGAGCCTGGTGAGGAATAATTGGAATATGAGAATATGAGTCTGCTCCTTCTGGTCATCATTGACTATTCTTCTCAGGGGGAAAAAACGTGGCATGGGTCCTGATGGACCAGTGGAGAAAATATCAATAAAAAGGAAGAGCCGATGAAAAAAACTTCAGCCTGTTCTAGTTTTGAACCTGTTCTGTCCACTGATTCAGGTTAAATCATCTTAACTGAGCAGTGGATCAGGTCCTTTGGAATAACTTTCCGTCTTCCTCAGCCATCCCTTTATTGTTTGCAAAATTCCAGATTTATCCTAAAAAGCCGATATCCATCTCTCTCGCACGTCTATTATTCTGAGTTACAAAATGAGCAGAATTCACAACATTGGGAAATATTACTCCATACCATTGCTTTGCTGATAAAACAAGGTTACAATAGCAAAATAAATAAAATAAAATAAAATAAAATAAAATTCTCTGGCCATCTGAAACTCAAAGCCACGCCACTGGTTTTCTTCTCTTCTCTTTTCTTTCCCTCCTCTAATCTTTACAGCCACCCCACGAGATAGGCTAAGTTATCAGAGAACAAAAGAAGATTGTCCCAATCTGACCCTTGGTAGGATTTAAAGGCCCAGCAACTTCAGATAAGCACAGCTCCAATCCTCCAGTCCTACTTTGTCATATCTGAGCTGGCTTGTTTACTTGCAGATGTTTCATTATCTCACCAGGTAACCCGATGAGCACTGGAGATACTATCTAGTTGGGTAATGAAACATATTTGAGCAAACGACTCCGAGCAGACAGCACCCGGGACTCCACCACGCAACCCTTGAGCTACAGAGAGTCTATCCTCTTGGAATGTCATTTCGTGGAGTTTTCCCAGTGTGGTACCCCATCCCTAATTTCCCGTTTTCTTAAGCCATCCTAACGGGATTTCCACACCAATCTTTCTCTTTGCGTTCCAATTTAAAAAGGATGCTGTAATGAATCCCACAAAACAGACTTCGATCAGGAATTGTTCCCCTCGTCTTTTGAGGGAGGGAGGGAGGGAAGGAAGGAACAGAAGAAAAGGAAGAAAGGAGGGAGACAGGGAGGGAGGGAGGAAGGAAAAGAGAGAGAGAAGGAAAGAAGGGAGGAAGGAGGAAGGGAAGGAAGGAAGGAGGGAGGGAAGGGAGGGAGGAAGGTAAGGGGTTGAGGACAACCTGTAACTCTCTTATTTGGAAGGAAGGATTAGAGGGAGGGAGGGAGGGAGGAAGAAAGGAAAGAAGGAAGGAGAGAGGGAGGGAGGGATGGAAGCAAACCCCTCACGGAAGAGCACAAAGCCCACTCAAGAGTTGCATTCCCAGAAAAAGGAATCAAGTCCTCCCAATTAAAAGAGCGGAGAAGGGAAATAATTATCTCTCCTCCTCCCCCCAATCCCCAAATCTCCCCTTTATCTCCCGGCAGACTGAACTGTAGTTGGAAATCTGCTATTTGATCCGCGGGAGGGAGGGAAGGCTGGAAGGAAAGAGCGAGCGATATTTACAGCTTAGAGAGCCCAAGCTGGCTTACTCAACAGGCGTTCGGGCGAGACCTCTCCGGCGACTTTAGGGGCTGGGGGATCTCTCTCTCTCTCTCTCCCGCACCCCCTCCCCCGACCCCCTTGGTCTTTCTCTTCCTCTCCCTCCTTCCCACCCACCCTCCTTAGCTATGGTGCTCCGCAAATCCTGCCCACCCCACCCCCGTCGCCCCCTCCTCCTCCTCCTCCTTCTCCTCCGGGGTCGCTTCCTCGCCCCCCTTCCTCTCTTTAAGACTCGGAGTCCCAGACCCTGCCTCTGCCTCTGACACGGCCCCACCACCCCTCCCAGCAGTTTCCCAGTCGCCTTTCCTCCTCCTCCTCCTTTTCATGCAACTGGGACTACGAAGGGGGGGGCACTCGAGGGACTGCCTTCCTCGTCCTCCTTAGCCCTCCGTTCCCATTCCTTCTCTGGGGTGGGCAGGGGGAGAATGTCCCTCCCTGCCCACCGGGGCAATTAACACCCCTTCCCACCCAGCCGCCCCCCCCCACCAGCCGCGGGCGTCTGATCTTCCCCAGCCGGACCCACGAAGTCCATCCATCCATCCATCCATTCATTCGTTCGTTCCGCGTCTGGGAGGCGGCGATGGGCGATGGGCGGCTCAGGGGAGACCCCGCTGGGTGGTGTGGAGAGACCCTTTCCTCCCGGACGCCGGGGGAGGCTGTGAGGGACCCCCCTCCCGCCCTTTTGCCCCCCGCCGTCACCTCCGACGCGGCGACCTGATGGAAATCTCACCCTGTTTATTTCCAGACTCCTGGATTTTCAGAAGACGCGCTTTGCCAGGTAAGGAAAGTTCTTGGGGGGGGGGCGCAAGGAGGAGGAGAGGCACAGGCCAGACCCCCCCCTCCTCCTCCTCCTCTCATTTCTCCACATTGCCTTATCTGTGAGTTTACTGGATTTCTTTGCTAAATTCAGGGCTTTTTTTTTTTTTTTTACATCAAGGGTGGGATTCAAATGGGCTTCAATCTCCTTTTTTTTCCCCCGATCCAGGAAATGGGCCCATCAGAACAAAGCCTAAATGGGATGCGGGACCTTCACGGACCCCAACAAAAGAAGGAAAATAATCCCGATAGGGTGAAGATGAGGAAAAAGCAGAAAGGGCTCTGAAATAAGGCTTTTTTCTTTAAAAAATAAAAACAAAGGAAACTTAACTGTGCAAGGGTTTCAGTTGCTAGGGAATTCATGCCGTTTTCTTGGCAACCACAAGGAGCAGGTTTGCTAACGGGGTCCTTCTGAGATATTATTCTTTGTCCTTTCACTTCCCAGTCCAACCTAGCGCCCTGAGATTTCTTGGTGGTCTCCCATCCCAAACTAATGTGATCTGGCTTGGCTGGTTCCAGGAGATCAGCCAAGGTGGATGAAATGTTTTGTGGCCCACTTTCCAGTTACATCAAATGCTTCTTCAGGCACCCCTAAAGGATGCAACTTGACCCATGTAGTAAAATTTACCCATGTAGTATGGCTGCATTACTATCATCCTTCTCATCTTTTCTACTACCTTCTCCTATTGGTATCATTCTCATGACCATCACTCTGTTGTTTTGCATGTACATCCAGAGCTTCCATACCACAGAGAAAGTCCTTGTGTGTCTAATCACACTTGGCCAAATAAAATATTCCTATCCTATCCTATCCTAATTCTACCCATTCTATTCTTTCCTGTTGATCTGTTCTGTTTTATTCTATTTCTATTCTATTTTATTCTATTAATTCTATTTATATTTCATTCCATTCTTTCCTGTTGTTCTGTTGTTCTATTCTGTTCTGTTGTTCTGTCCTATCCTATCCTATCCTATCCTATCCTATCCTATCCTATCCTATCCTATCCTATCCTATCCTATCCTATCCTATCCTATCCTATCCTATCCTAGGGTGAAACGATGAACTAAATGTAGGAAGGACTGTTGCTTTACCTGTTGGATGGCGGCTGCAGGACTAGAACACAGCTGAGAAGATGGCTCTGATGATCCTCCTGGTTAGGTTAAACTGGAGCTTCTGGGAGGTGCTTGGGGCCCACCTGTTCCCCCCCCCAATGCAGGATCAAAGGGAAAGCATCTGGAGAAGGCTGGATCCGGTCATCCTGTTGCTTCTATTAACAGCCTGCTATTGTTTCTCTGGGCTGGATCATCCCTTTTGATCTGCCCATTTGCTTCCTGAAAGCAGAAAGAGAATTCCAGGAAGGATCAGATCACCAACCAGGCTTCAGCAATGGTAAACCTAGATGCCACAAACTGAAAGAGTCTGGAGGGTGTGTGTGTGTATTTGTGTGTGTTTTTCATCCCATCCCCCCTTTTCTCCATGCCTGTGGAAACCAGCTGCCATTGTGAAAAACGTGACCTTTTTTGCATTGATAGAAACCGTCGTCGATGCAAAAGATTTCCCACCCATCTGTGAACTGGCAAGATTTTTTTTTTTGCCTTTCTTTCAAAGCAAACTTTTTGGAGGGAGTTTTGTGCAGGCTGCAGATGCCCCAAATGGACATTGGGGTAGAAACGGAGAGAAGAGACATTTGGAGGGGGGGGGAGAGAGATCCTAAACTTTCAAGATGAGACACAGGCAAAATGTTCCAACTTGGGCACTTCCCATCACTTGTGTTTCTTCCTTGAGGGAGAAAATTTGGAGGATCTGACCCAGTAGGGCTGGCAAATTGTGAGCCTTCCTGGTGAGCTCAGAACTGTGAAATGTACACGATCAGGAAAGATTGCAAAGAAGCCAGGATCCTATAAATAAAAGCTGCCCAGTTGAAACACGAACTTAACCCAAACTTTTCAGGAATCAGAAGCCTCCCAGCAATCAATTCCCTTTGGCTGCCTTTTCAAGACTCCCCAAATGTGGGACTTCACTGCTAAAAGCTGGCCCAAATCTTGGGGAACAACCCCAAGCCCCCTTTGCCAGCTTGCGGGTCCCTTACCCAAACTAGGCAAGGATGCCCTGACACGGCTCCCCGCAAGGGAAAAAAGAGATGATAGAACGGTTATGAGCTGACTTACAACAGTTTATTTAGTGACAGCTCAAAGTTACACTGAAAAAAAAAATGTGACTTAGGACCGTTTTTCACAGTTACGAATTTCCTTGCCGCAATTGTTAAGGGAATCACTGCAGCTGGTTAAGTTAGCGAACTCGGTTAAGTGAATCCGGCTTCCCCATTGAATTTGCTGGTCGGAAGGGGGTCACCTGACCTTGGGACACAGCCACGGTCATAAGTATGAGTCAGTTGCCAAGCGCCTGAATTTTCAGCACAGGATTATGGGAGTGCTGCAAAGGCCGTAACTGTGAAAAACGGTCCTAAGTCACATTTTTTTTTCAGTGTAACTTTGAGCTGCCACTAAATAAACTGTTGTAAGTCATAACCGTTCTATCATCTCTTTTTTCCCTTGCGGGGAAAATGGGGGCAAAACCCTCTCAACCAATGTCTCCGTTAACGACATAAATTTTGGGCTCCCTAAGACAAGGGTTACCTGTATTTTCACGCAAATGCGGACACAAAGTTTTGGCGTTAAACTAAGAGATTTAGAGATGGGCTTACAGAAAGCAGAGCAAAGGATGGGACAAAGGATGGACTAGATGACCTCCAAGGTCCCTTCCAACTTTATTATTATTATTGTTGTTATTATTATTATAATAAAGAAATGTTCAGTTGCCTTCTAAGAGATAAGTTGTTGGGTTGATTCTCTTTGTGGGTAGCAAAGTTTATTTTTTCTAAAACCGTTCCTTTTTTTTTCTCTCTCTCTTTTTCCTTTTGGATTAATTATTTTAAATAAGTGGTTTGAGTTTCTTGCAGGACGGTTTTCCCTGGCCTTCTTTCCCCAGTTTTGATGCCCAATCTCTGCAAATCATTTGCAAAGGGTTTCCATGGGGATCTGAAGTACAGGGGAGGGGAGAGAGGCGCGGGGGGGGGGGGAGGGGGTGGAGAAATTAAAGTTTTCCTCCACACAGTGATCAGAACACTTTGAAGTTAGGAAGGAACACAACCCCTCACTTTTAAAAATGAGCCAGAAAGAATCAGGAAGTTTTTATGAAGAGACTGGACAGCCATTTGTCTGAAATGGTATAGAGTTTCCTGCCTGAGCAGGGGGTTGGACTAGATGACCAACTTTGTTATTATTATTATTAATAATACTAACACCCAATGGACATCTTCTACAGCAAATCTCCTATCTTACTTCTTCAGCATCCAATGGATAGCTTCTTCAGGCTGGGTGAGCAAACCTATCTCCACAAATACTGAATCATGCATAAAAAAAAAAATCTCCGAGGACCTAGGACTCCATATGGGACTCACGTCTTCTGACAGCGAGGCATCTGGTTGTTCCCAAACAAAATACAGCACACGGTTCCATGTGGGTGGGTTTTTTTTTTGGCCAAGTCTTGTCAGCTGGTAGAGCTGGGATTCTTCCAGAAGTAATTTTGGTTGGAAGTCTTCCTCCTACATTGACTGAAAATTCAGTGCCTCATCAAAATATTCAGGAAGGATCTTGAAGACTTCATCTAGTGCAGGGGTCTTCAAACTTGGCCCTTTGTTGACTTGTGGGCTTTCACTCCCACAGTGCCTGGCTGAGGAATTCTGGGAGTTGAAGTCCACAAGTCATCAAAGGGCCAAGTTGGAAGACCCCTTGATCTAGTGCAACCCTTCTGCTAATCTTGGCTGTCACCATCCATGACTATATGTCTGTGGAGGTTCTCAATCAGCTCGATGAACCACTCAATGCAGTCCATAGTCATGGTTGTCCCAAAGGTGCTTTTTCCGAAGGGCAACTGGACTTTCTTCTGGATGTCCTTATTACCTATCCCATCCAAGGCCCACAACCACTGTGGGGTGGCAACCAAGGTAGATTTGCACCTGAGTTTCTCAAAGTCTAGTCCAACCTCCTTTATCACCACCTTGCAAGACTTAAATCATCCTTTGTTCTAGCTGAATCTCAGGCTAGGCTGTGAAAGAAAGCCAAGGAGTTTTCTTCCCCAGAAGAGCTATTCAAATCTTCTCCAGGTATCTTCCATCAGATGGATCAGGGCTGGGAACTAGGATTTAGAAACATCTGGAAGAGAATGAGTGGCACTCTCTTCCACTTAGCTACTCTGGCAAACTTCACATTTCACTCTGAAGCACCACAGGGGGTCTTGGTTGAGGGTGTCGTGGGACTCAGCTGACCAAGAATGGTTTCAAAGAATGGTTTAGGGCTTGGCGTGAAATGCTCAAAGTCTAGGCAGATGCCTACACAGAATCTTTTTCCTCAGTGCCTGGGATCTGGGTGCTTTGCCAAGGGACCGTATGTTCCCGGATGAATTTCAATGTTCAGAAGGGAAAACTAGCCAGGCTGCCTGGCATTCAGTAGAAAGCTTTTCTTTCTGACTCACAGCTAACAAAGGGCAGGCAGAGGAAGAGAAAGTGAGTGACGGGCTTCAGACTCCCTTTTCATTTCCTAAGACAAACACGGCTTTGTTTGGGGTCTAGAAAGCGGTGCGCCCAAGGCTGTTGTCTTGCCATCTCTCCGTGGCCCTGAGAAATGGCACCAGAGAAAGACCAGCACCCAACGGGGTTGTGAGAAACCCAGAAATGACAGGCGAATCCCAGGAGGATGTGGACCAACGTGATGCTCGGGTGGGGAGGGGAACTTATCTTTGCAATGCGAAAAGCCTTCAATTGTTGTTTTTAGCCTTGGGGGGTGGAGAGGAGGATGCAAATCCATCTCAGAATTCTAGCATCTCAGAATCTGAAGGGAGCTGAGTCCAGTTAGGATTGGGTTTGCTTGCTTCAGAAGACATCTGATGCCTTTTGTTCCTGTAAGTGTCCTTGAAAAGGTCGGTTCTTCTGAAGGAGAAAGGTGGATGTTGGATGGAGACCCATCCTGACCTCATCGGTTGGAGAAATATTGGACTTTGACCTAGAGAGTTGTTCCATCTCGTCCTTTGCTGGCATCATTTGAGCCTGTCATATGGATGTGGCCACCATGATCTGTAAACTTTGGTACCCATAGAAGGGAATATTTGTAGCTCAAATTGAATTATGGGAGTCCTTGGTGTTCTCGGAGCTTGGTTATTTTCTTGCAGATGTTTCACTACCCAACTAGGTAATCTCATCAGTGCTACAGTAGAAGGGAGAGAGCCTTGTGGAAAGGAGGAGGAGGAGGAGGAGGAAAGAGGGGAACTGTGGGATCCTTGGTGTTCTCGGAGCTTGGTTGTTTTCTTGCAGACGTTTCACTACCCAACTAGGTGACATCATCCGTGCAAACCCCAATCCCTTCTAGCGCTGATGATGTCACCTAGTTGGGTCACGAAACATCTGCAAGAAACAACCAAGCTCCGAGAGGACCAAGGACCCTCGTAAGCCATGATTCCTAGTCCAGTGCATGTGTGCATCTAGCTCGCCAAGCTTAGTCCAGACCCCACAATTAAAAGCAACAAAACTTAGCATGATGTGTAAACAAAACCATTTGTCCTAGGAGGTAGACTTAAGATGCGGGAGAGGGAGGGAGGGAGGGAGGGAGGGAGGGAGGGGGTGGTAAGGAGGAGGAGGACCTCTTCTCCTTGGTTCTTTACTTGCTATTTTGGGATGTAAGGCAGCATTAGTCCAGTTTCTGTTCAAGGTAACGCCGGACTAAACTGAAATTATTCCTCTGTGTGTTTCTCTGGAAAGCGTGACATCCCTCTGCAGCTCTAGTGCAGGACATGCACCCCAAAGAGGAGAAAAGACACCGACATTGAGGAGAGGGCTGGATGGTTGCCTGGCAACCCATCCCAAGGAATAATGCTTGCCTTGTCTGCAAGAGGCTGGCCCCTGGTGAAGAACTGAAGTGTGCCAATCCAGCCTCAAAACCGGCCCCGACATCTCTTTGTTAACCAGGATGGAGACGCGCGAAGGGGGAGGCCGCTGTGTTTAAAACATGGACTTTTACTTTCACTGGGGCGTAAATTCATCGACTCTTTTTGCCTTTCTGCTTCAGCTGGAGGGAGAATTCCTTGGGAAAGTTTCCAGGCCTCTGTAGGATTTACAAGACCCTCCAAGAGACGAATTCATCCATCCTTAAAAAAAAACAAAAACAAAAAGAAATATCCCATGCCTGTTAAAACAAACAAAAAAAGTTTGGCCTTGTGGAAAGGAGGAGCAAGGATGCTTCTGCTCAAAGGAAGTTTCCCATCGCATGGCTTGAATGCTAAGGATCATGGATAGGGAGGGTCTCTCTCTCTCTCTCTCTCTCTCTCTCTCTCTCTCTCTCTCTCTCTCTCTCTCTCTCTCTCTGTGTGTGTGTGTGTGTGTGTGTTTCTGTATAGCTGTGGCATCCCTGCCAATGAAAATGATTATATTAATTGTTGAAGCACGGCCCGTGATTAAAGCATTGCCTGACGGATCTGGCAAGTAGGTCTCCTCTGTTCCAGATGGTAGGTAGTTGATGGACTCTCCTTGCTTCTGTCTCTCATTCAAGGTTTATGAATCACAGGGTCCCAGCCAACCGAAGGTACCAACCCACAGAGTATGAACATGCAGCCAACTGTGCCACCCATGCGGTGAGTTGTATGTATCTTCTCCAGGGAGCATTCTGGTAGGATGAGACAAGAAGTTGGGGGTCTTCAGAGCCCAAGTGAGGTACCCAATGTCCATGGGAGATATCCAATGTCCATGTGAGATGCCCAATGTCCATGTGAGATGTCTAATGTCCATGGGAGATATCCAATGTCCATGTGAGATGCCCAATGTCCAAGTGAGGTACCCAATGTCCATGGGAGATATCCAATGTCCAAGTGAGGTACCCAATGTCCATGGGAGATATCCAATGTCCATGTGAGATGCCCAATGTCCATGTGAGATGCCCAATGTCCATGTGAGATGCCCAATGTCCAAGTGAGGTACCCAATGTCCATGGGAGATGCCCAATGTCCATGGGAGATGTCTAATGTCCAAGTGAGATGCCCAATGTCCAAGTGAGGTACCCAATGTCCATGGGAGATGCCCAATGTCCATGGGAGATGTCTAATGTCCAAGTGAGATGCCTAATGTCCAAGTGAGGTACCCAATGTCCATGGGAGATGCCCAATGTCCATGGGAGATGTCTAATGTCCAAGTGAGGTACCCAATGTCCATGGGAGATCTCCAGTGCTCAAATCCATGATGTCCATCTCCTCCAGCCTCCTCTCAGAACTTTCCTCTTCTCTTCTACTTTCTGTCTTCCAGTTCTGGATTGTTCCCAGCATCCTTGGAAGTTCGGTTCTCTACCTCCTCTCGGACAATCAGTGGGAGACAATTTCTGCATGGATCTACGGCTTCGGCTTGTCAGGACTCTTCATCGTCTCCACCACCTTTCATACCATCTCCTGGAAGAAACGGCACTTAAGGTAATCAGCCTTCAGCCAGCCGGGCAGCAGCAAAGAAAGCTCGATTGTCAGAGGAAGCGACATCAGATCCCTGGTCCATCCGGTTTGGACCGATCTCCTTTACGCCCTGAGAAATTAGGAAGGGTCCCTTCTGAGCCACTTGCTCCCCCAAAGAAAATGAAACTCAACAAATCCCCCTTTTCTCCCTCTGCCTCTTTTGCAGGACCGTGGAGCATTGCCTACACATGTTCGACAGGATGGTGATTTATTTCTTCATTGCAGCTTCCTACGCTCCTTGGTGAGTTCTCACAAACCGCCTGTCGCTCTCTGTGACCGATCCTCTAAATCTTGGTCTGCAACTTCGGCCGCTTTAAGTCTTGTGGACTTGGACTTGTGGACCCAGTATGGCTGGCTGAGGAATTCTGGGAATTGAAGTCCACAAGTCTGAAAGGGGCTGAGGTTGGAGACCCCGGATCTAAATGATTCTCTAGGTCTCTCTCTGTGTGTGCGTGTGTGATAGAGAGAGAGAGGGGGGGAGGGAGAGAGAGAGAGAGAGAAAGAAAGAGAGTAGGAGGGGAGGGAGAGGGAAAGAAGAGAGAGAGGGAGGGGAAGAGAGGGAGGGAGAAAGGGAGAGAGAAAGAGGAAGGGAAGAGGAAAGGGAGAGGGAAAGGGGAGGAGGGAGGGAGGGAGAGGGAGGGAGGGAAGAAGTGAGAGACAGGTAGAGAGAAGGGAAGAGAGAGGGAGGGAGGAGGTGAAAGAGAGGGAGGGGGAGAGAAAGGGAGACAGGGAGGGAGGGAAGAGGTGAGAGAGAGGGAAAGGGGGAGAGGGAGGGAGCAAGGAGAGGGAAAGGGAGGGAGGGGGAGGGAGAGAGAGAGAGAGAGAGAAATCTACTTTTGCTATGTCTTTGTAGTCTTTCAAGCAGTAGAAGGAACAATCTAAAGCCACTGGCTGGTGACAAGACTTGGGTACCGGGTCAAATCTAGATTGAACAGGGGGAATGGTGAGGCGGGGGGGGGGGGAGAAGGTGGCTGTTGAATCCCAAGGATGTCACCAACTTCCTTGAGATCTTTCAAGTCATCTCGGTGGTGTCTGGCCTGCGTTGCCAGTGGGTGGCTTCTCCCCTTGACTTCTAATGTCCCCGTTGTGCCCCCAGGCTCAACCTGCGGGAGCTGGGTCCCTGGGCATCCCACATGCGCTGGATCATCTGGATCATGGCCACAGGGGGGACGGTCTACGTCTTCTTTTTCCATGAACGGTGAGCGGGCGAGCGAGAGTGGGATCCTCAGAGGGCAAAATCCACGCGTGGGCTTGGCTGGGAAGTATAGCTTTCGTTGGTCTACACTGCCCTCTGGTGGAACGAAAGATATCACAGGCACAGCTTTCTTTTGCTTGCTTATTAGTTTTTAATCCTTTATCATGGTTTGCTTATAGAACAAAGTTAGAAATGTCGTTGGAAGATTGTGAAAATAAGATAAACTCGCCCTATAACTCATGAGCCCAAGTTGTTTGGACAGAGTTCAAGAGTTCGATCCTGACCAGCTCAAGGTCGACTTAGCCTTCCATCTTTTCCCTCCCTCCCTCCCTCCCATCCATGCATCCATCCATGAATCCATCCATCCATCCCTGCATCATTGAAGGCTGACTCTGCCCACTGTCAGGAGTTCAATCCTGAAACAGTTCAAGGTCGACTCAGCCTTCCATCCTTCTGAGGTCGGTAAAATGAGGACCCAGATTGTTGGGGGCAATATAGGCTGACTCTGTAAACCGCTTAAAGAGGGCTGTAAAGCATTGTGAAGCGGCATATAAGTCTCAGTGCTATTGCTATTCATTCAGCAACGGGGGAAGTCGGTTGTAGCTTATCTTGAGTTGCAAACCATATCAAGGTTTCCTAAACTCAGGTTGGCTTTCTTGATCCCCAGGTACAAGCTGGTGGAGCTGTTTTGTTACCTGGTGATGGGGTTTTCCCCTGCCCTGGTCATTCTCTCCATGGTAAGTGACTCAGTGGAAATGCAGAAGGTGACAAGGTCCATCCAAGTGTCTCCTCCTCCTGAACGATTGGGAAATCATAGTTAGCCCTTGTCTTACAACCATTTGTTTAGTGACTGTTTAAAGTTACAACAGCACTGAAAAAGTGACTTATGACCGACTGCCACACTTGCAGCATCCTCAGGGTCATGTGATCAAAATTCGGGGGCTTGGCAACTGACATGGACTTATGACTGTTGCGGCATCCCGGGGTCACGCGATTCCCTCTTTCTGAACTTCCCAGCTGGCTTCTGACAAGCAAATATGCTGCAATGGAGGAAGCCAGATTTGCTGAATGACTTCCTGGTTTCACTGAACAACTGGCAGTGGCTTCACTTAACAACTAGGGCAAAAGAGATCATAAAATGGGACGCAACTTGCTTAACAACTGCCTTGCTTAGCGATGGGGATTTGGTTTCCATTGTGGTCGTAAGTCGACTAGACTTTCATGGGTTCTGGGTCTTCTTTTACCAAGTCCACTGACTGCTTCCTCTGCTTGTCCTGGTTCTTGCAGCCCAACACGGAAGGCCTGGAGGAGCTGGTGGCTGGTGGCATTTTTTATTGCTTGGGTACCGTCTTCTTCAAGAGTGATGGACGCATCCCCTTCGCCCATGCCATCTGGCACCTCTTTGTGGTGTTTGGAGCTGGCACCCATTACTATGCCATTTGGAGATACCTTTATCGGCCGGATGCTCTCCCGTCTCACATCTCCAGGTAGTGGCCTTAAGGATTCCAAGACAAAGAATCAAGAGGAGGAGATCCATCCTTCCTTCTTTGTATCTTCTGGAAGGTTGGTCCCTCTCCTCCATGTTCTTCAGGACTTCCAAGATGAGATGGCAGCTTTTAGACTGGACTCCTTGCCCAATCTTGCCGAAGGTCCAGAACTTGGAAGGTGCAACTTTTCTTTGATTACAAAAGAACCGTGATGGCATGTATTGTTCTTGGAGGAAAGTTCTGACCCAAAAGGAACAGTGGATGGGTCTTTTGTGAAAAGGAAAGCTAGGAAGCAACCACTGGAAACATCTGCTACAACTCAAGAGCCCAAGAAGTCAACCGAGAAGCGAGAAACGACTCAAGAGGTTGGATGGAGAGACTTTTAAGAGTCCCATCCGTTCAATTGTTGTGTTTCCGTTGTCTCTTCTACCGCAAAAAGAACTCATTGTCTGGCCTGCCACTCTACCTCTTATGACGCTGTTAGTTGATCCTCTCTAAGCCATTCCAAGCAGATTGTAGAGGTAGAATTGTCCCAGTTATGCTGTCTCCCATTGGCTTAACTTCTGTGAGGTCACAAATAGTACAGTCAGATATCCTTTTGAGGCTGACACTCTCTGGATCTCCTGGACGTCTGCAGGAACACCATGGTTGGTGTCCTTCAGCAATTTCCAAATCTCATGGTACAAGTATTCCTCAACTTAACGGCCACAATTGAGCCCAAAACTTCTGATGCTAAGCAAAACATTTGTTAAGTGAGTTTGGGCCCAGGTTACAACCTTTCTTAAGTTAGTAGACTATCTCACAGTTATGCCAAACCATCATTACCGTCACTTCCTATTTGTGACCCTGAGCAGATACAGTGACGCTGAAATTTCAGCCATGTTTAAACATTCAGACCAATTCCATTTTCCACTCATTGGATTCCTCGTCATGCGTGCCTCTCAGAGGTGTTTTTAAGCCACCTTCTTCCCAATAACTTATCTCTTGAGGATTAAATGGGAGGTACTAATGTAAGCCGGATAACTTTAAACCAGTGGCATCCAGCCAATTCTGAAGCCCTCTGACCATGTCATTCTGAAGAGGTACAGTGAGAAGGTAGACTGGAACACGTTCCTTCAGGATGAGATGGTGGAAGGGACCATATTCCTTCAGGGTAGTGGAAGGGACCATGTTTCTTCGGAATATGGAAGAAACCATGTTCCTTCAGGAGGAGTTGGTGGAAGAAACCACTCAGGATATGATGGTGGAAGGACCATGATCCTTCAGGGTTGTGGAAGGGACCACATTCCTTCAGATAAGATGGTAGATGAGACCACGTTGCTTCATGTCCTCCTTTCCCCATTTCCCTCTGTGTAAAGCTTCCACACCAATCCCAACTAACAGTGTAAGCATTGAGTAGGTTCTGGATTTTTGATGGTGTTTACTTCCGGGGAAGAAGACGAAACCAATCAACCAAACCTCCCAATATTCTGCAACAGTCCAAGGCATGGCCCACCTTAGGATTCCAACTACCTCATGATGCTTCGTGGATAGAGTAGACCTTTGATATTGTCACAAGCTTAAGAGTTCTCAAAGGTCATTGGTCCTTCTTGAGATCCCGCTTGATATAATTTCGGCTTCCTAAGAGTTAGTACTCATACCTAAAACACAGGGAGTTACAATTTAAATCTTCTTCAAAAGGAGAATAAGAGTGAGTTTAAAAACTGCGTCCCTCATTTTACAGCAGAAGGTGTCCAACCTTGATAACTTTAAGACTTGTGGACTTCAATTCCCAGAATTCTTTGGCTGGCTGGGGAATTCTGGAAATTGAAGCCCACAAGTGTTAAAGTTGTTAAGGTCGGACACCCTGATTTAGAGCATTCCCATTGATGAAAAAGGTAAAGGGGTCTGTCTACATCAGGTTTTCATTTTCCACTCTGTCCTACAGCACTGGAATTCTCCGCTGGAAGCCCAACCAAGTGTTAACCAGGCCGGACCCTGCTTAGCTTCCCAGCTTCAAGGACACCAGTCAAGTGTTCTGCCTTGCTATGAATTCCTTTCTGCACCCTTCAACCAAATCAATTTGGATTCCTTGAAATCTCTGTTTGTAGCTAATTCTGATTTTATTTTTCTGTCTGGTGACTGTTTTGTACTCTATAATCAGGGGAATGAATGGGTTATACTGATCGCCCTAGCTTTTTGTACTAACTTTTCATGACTTTGTAACTTTAAAAGAATGTTGACCAGTTAAAACTTCTGAATTTTTTGAAGAAGAAGTCCTGTATTTCAAACCACTTGTCTCTTATTTAAACATAAGTATTTTATATATAACACAGTATTATTTAATGCCGGTTGTAATAAAAACCATATTAGGGAAGGTGGTTTCTTGTGGAATAAGATTTAAATTATAAAAAAAATAACTTCTTTAGGGCTGTATTTATTGTTACTGAAGAGGGGAAAGTTTTTTTAATGATTTTTTTTTAAAAGGGAAGCCATCATCCATAGGCTGATGAGACTCAGTTTTACAAATGTTACAAGTCATAACTCTAACAATTAATTCTCATAAATCTGATATAGAATTAAAATTCTACAGTCACTTAAATGAAATGGGTGGTATAGAAATTTGATAAATAAAAATTGTAATTGGAAACATTCTTGGACTATACAACTTTATATATCGATTTGTTTCAAACTCAGATTTTGGGTTTATCTACAGCCAGAACCTACATTTTAACTTGCTAGGAAATTACATTTCTAGTATTCCAGTTAGGGATTTCTACTGTGTAAACAGGATGTCTTTAATTGAGAAACCTGAATTTTGTTTCTGTTTTTTTTTAAAACTGGCATGTCAAAGTATCATAAGCAATTAATAACAGTTGCTAAAGAGTAGCCTTTATGATTTTTTTTTTTCATCTATTTGCACTGCATTACTTATACTTTAGTACTTTTACTTCTATATGCTGTCCAAACTTGACAATTTTTAATACTTGTGGACTTCAATTTTGCATGGCTGGCTGGGGAATTCTGGGAGTCGAAGTCCACAAATTTTCAAAGTTGCCAAGATTGGACACCCCTGCTTTAGATCTTCTCTTGCTTATATTATTTACTAAACAAAAACCTGTTCAACAACAACAATAACAACAACAAAATAGTTCATTCTCTGTCTACATCAGTGGTTCTCAACCTGTGGGTTGGGACCCCATTTGGGGTCAAACGACCATTTCACAGGGGTCGCCAAACAATGCAGTCCGCCATTTTTTCCCCCTTTTCCTTAGCTGTGCTCCTCCCTTTTATTCTATTGGCTTTCGAAAGCCAATAGAATAGACTCTCTTGAATAGTCTAATTCTATTGGCTTTCAAAAGCCAATAGGAATTGTTCAGGCTGTCTCTGCCCTGCTGAGCCCGCCAAAAGTCACATTCTGCAAACGGTGCTGCACCAGTTGAGTAGTCCTCGACTTACGACTGGTTGGGGGTCGCGGCATTAAAAAGGTTGAGAACCACTGGTCTACATCAAAGGACCAACATTATGGGGGGTGGGAAACCTCCAGAAATGTTTAACTTTCATTATGTATCTATCTCAAGTAAGTTTTCTCAAGACTTTGGGCATACAATCTATTTTTTTTTTTTTAAAAAAAAAACCTTTTAAAGGAATGGCTTATGTTTTTCTGCTAAAAACATCTCTATCTGATCTACTTTCCTGTGTTTCTTATTTTTTATTATATATATATATGTATGTATGTATGCATGTATGTATATATATATTGCAACTCCATTTTGGAGTTGGGTAGGAATAAGCAGCAGGGCAAAAATAATTACAGAGAGAAGAATGCAAAAACTGCTTCAGAGTCAGTTTTAGTAAGTGTGATGTGACCCTTATCAGCAAAGCAAAGGGTGACATCACCAGGGTGAAATAGTTGCGGGATGAAATCGTTGTGGGTTTGTCAGAAGGATGACACACAAAAATACCACTGAGTATTGCTGCTTGCTAGAGAGAGAGAGGTCTAAATTTCGGCTTTTTGTCATCCTTTAAAAGTTTCAATTCCCTTTCAAAACAACCCAAACAGGGGATCCAAGTCAGGAAATCCTGATCCCGTCTAATCCGCACCTAGGAAAGACACCAATTCCCACCAGCTGGAGAAAAATTGAGCAAGGGAAATCCAAAAGTCTCCAGGAAGAGTCCAGATGTGAAAAACACATACCGTTATTTAAACCCAACAAACATAGTTAAAAGCACTTCTATCTTATAAAGTAGATGGAAAATGTTTAGGAAACCGAAAAGCGTGGCTCTCTGGGCCTCAAAACATACTAACCTGGTTAATTAAATCTGGGTTAGCGCAAATGGACCCAGATAGCCGCTTTTCCCCCAAAACAGCTGAGTAAGAAGTCAAAAACAGATGTCTATGGAGGTTCTCCCTCATCCAGATCATCGGTGTCCCAAAGAAAGCAACTGGACTTCCTTGTTTTTCTTTGGAAGACGTTTTGCTTCTCATCCAAGAAGCTTCTTCAGCTCTGAAGAGAAGGATTATCCCACCTACAAGGAATATAAATCCGGTTTGCACGAAAACAACCCAGCTCAGAGAGCACCAAGGACCTCTCCTTGCTACAAAGATTCTTCTTCATTGGAATACAGATCCTTCTGTTCCCCACCACCCAGGCAGAGCCGAAGAAGCTTCTTGGAGGAGAGGCGAAACGTCTTCAATAGGAAACCCACCCAAAAGTCCAGTTGCCTCCTGGAAAAGCATCTTGGGGAAAAGTCAAAACCAGGCCAGGAGAGTTTAAGGTGGCTGCCAAAATTTAACAGGGGAGGAAGCAAGAAAAGAGGGAGTGCACTCACCGGCATGCAACGGCTTCGGGGTTCAGAGACACCCCCCTCCAAATTCAGCCCAGGGGCTTGGCTAGCAGCCCCGCTTGCACAGCTGCAGGTCTGAACGGGACTGTTCCTGGCCCAATTCGGGCTCCGACGACTCCAAGCAGACGAAAGCCAGCCCCAGCAACGGCTGGGGAGGCGGACGTGGGTCCTTAAGGGACGGGGGAGGGGGGACACAAAACGCGCAGCGCCCGCAACGACAAGTTCCCCCCGCGCCGTTAAACCGCGCTGCTGGGATGGGGCGCGTCGTGGCGCGCGGCGGCCACCAGGCGGCGCTGCTCCGCTCCGGCTGCCCGGGACGTGGCGAAGCGGCCGCCTCGGCTGAAGCTGCGCTCTTAATTCGGGTGGGCTTCGCTGGCTCGCCCGGGCATGATGCCCACCGGGCGGTGGCGGAGACCCCGGCCCGGGAGGTGAGTGGCAACTCGGCGCACTTTGCAGGTGCGGGTCGTGGGGAGGGAGGGGGCGAGCGTGCAAAGTCGGGGGGGGGAGAGAAGGAGGCTGGGGTCGGTTTCCCTGGAATTGGAATTGGGGAGGTGGGGGGGGGGAGAAGAGAAGGATGCGGGGTGGGGGGAGAGAGCCAAAGACAGGATGCAATGATAGACCGGTCCTCTCCCCCCCCCCAATCCCCGCTCCCCTTCTGCACCGGGCACTCAGCTCGGATGCAGAAGCCTTGGGAGCGCTGCCTGGGAGAGACAGTGCCCCCTCCGCCCAATTGGGGCCGATGGAGTCGGAGCTAATGGGGTGGGGGGTGGTTGGGGGACTTGAGGTTGAGGAGTCCCCCCCTCCCTTGGTGAAGGCACAAAGGGAAGCGAGTGGCTGGTCGCGTGGCGTGGGTGGAGAGGGAAAGAGGGGCGGGGAGGGGGTGAGGTCAAGCCAAGTGCCAAGTCCTCAAGGAAAAGACGCGGGGGGGGGGCGTGTGTGACCCAGGTCTGTGTCCAAGAAGGGCTGGAAGTCCTTCAAAGCCGATTTAGAGGGATTAGCGCCTCCGAAGGAGACTTGGCTGGTGTTGGCGAAGGTCAACAGAAGGGAATCTCTTAGCTCAGGGTTGAAATGAGGGGTCTCTGAGCTGGGTTGTTTTCTTGCAGACGTTTCATGACCCAGCTAAGTAACATTATCAGTGCTAGAAAAGAGTGGGGAGTGGAGGAGAAGGGAAAGAAGAGAACAAGCACAAGGACTATGGGGTCCTCGGTGCTCTCTGCTGGGTCGTTTTCTTGCAGACGTTTTATGACCCACCTAGGTAACATCATCAGTGCTAGAAGGAGGGAGGTCTGCTCTCTATTTACATGTGACAGTTTCTGTAAGAAACGAGTTTGTGATGCAATGGCAGCGGTGATCAGGAGACACGAAAGAGAGAAGTTTTGTGTGTTTATTTTGCAGGAATAGCAATGCAAAGGCAATTCCCCTTTCTTTGTTTTTTGGATCCTTTTCCCCCAAATAATGTACAGGAAGAGGCTCAAGATGTTTGGGGTTTTTTTTTTGCGTTCATGAAAACTGCAGCTAAGAACGAACCCTAACCATTCCCACATACAGGGGCAAGTAGAAGCTTGCCTGGTTGTCATTGGTGACCCAACTGGGTTATGCTGGGAGGAGGCTCCTAAGGAGAACTTTTCTGCCCTCCCTCACCTCTAAAATTGAGCCCTGGGATTATCTGGCCTTGGGGTGGGCTTGGTGGTCTTTTCCGAAGGCTTTGGATCGTGTCTTTCCGCTGGATCTGGATCAAAGATTTGGAGGTGATTATCCAGCAGTTCTGATCGTTGGTTCAATCTGGGCTTTTAGGCTGCAATGTGACTAAAACGTTCCAGAGAAAGGAGGAGAAAGAATTTTACCTCTGACATTTCTGCTCCATGGAGACACAAGACGCTGGGGAGTTGTGTGTGTGTGTGTGTGTGTGTTGGAAATCAAAGCCACATTGTTATGGCAGTGAATTTTCTCTCCCTTGGCTTTTGCAGTTATTAAGAAATTTTGAAAACCGAGGAAGGTTGCTCTCAAGTCTAAGTCAAGACTGGCTTTCCAGGTTGTGTGTTTGTGTCTGGGCTTTGCAAAGAGCCAGCATACAGCTGGTGGTTTTCGGGACACATGGCGTTATTTGGGGGTAAGACCAGGAACAATTTTTCTATGATTATCATTTCCGCTGCTCCGTGCAATTGCCTAAGGACGATGGCTGTAATAAAATCTTTGTTAGGCAACCTTTGGAGACTTGTGGCCTTTGGGAAGAGCTGGAACACAAACCCAACACATTCTTTTTGTTCTTGTGTGGTGCTTTTTGAGAAGCAAAGAGCACAACAGCTCAATGGCCTGGGCCTGGACTGGAAAATCATTTAAAAATTCCTACACCCAGCGTGAATTTTTAAGCAGCCAAAATTCCAGCACCAGCAATTTGATAATTTGGGGTGGGTTTTTTTTTTTTTTTCATTTCTTTGCTCTGTTTTTAAGCTATTCAGATGATGAGATTTTCAGTTTTAGCCCACGTGGTGTGGAATGTGTTGGAAGAGAAACCGTGAAACGCCAGTCAGTTGGCACAAGCATTATAAATTTGTCGATTTTTATTTTATTTTACTTTTTAAAAAACACTGTTCTGCTCTGAAGCCTCTTAGAACAAGGCTTGGTCAGCAGAAACAAAGCAGTTTAAAAAAAAATTCAGACATTTTTGCCAGAAACATTTCTGTGACTTAGCTCAGGACTTTTGCAAGCTGACTTCCCTGGCACGGTTCTGCCCAAATGCAGATGGTCCAACTTTAAGTTTTAGGTACAGGCCATGAAAATGAGGGACGTGACCCCCCAAATTGTTCCAGATTCTGCCTCTGGATTGCACTTTATTTTGTTCAATATTTTATTATTTTTTTATAGTCACAAGTCCTTAATATTTTATCAGCAACCTATTGTCTGGGTTCCAATGTTTAGTTTACTAATAGATGTTAAACTCCTTTCTCTCTCCCTCGTTTATCTAGCCGTTGATAAAAGGTATCCCGTGTTCTAAGGTATTCTGAATCTTCTTTCTCTTTCGTTTTTAGTGTCAGTCTGTCCATTTCTCTGGATTGCACTTTTTTGATGAGATAGAAAGAGAATTATCAAAAAAGCTCAGGGAACGAAGGCCTTCATTCCACGGAATTAATTTAATTTAATGAGTGTGGCGTTTTGTTCTCCGATTGAGGGTCAATGCCTTAAAAAAGAAAGAAAGCTATGCCTTAATTTTGATCACGTGACCCTGGGGAGGTTGCAACGGTTGTAAGTGTGAAAAATGGCAATCAGTCACTCTTTTCAGTGCTCTTGTAACTTGGAACAGTCACTAAAATGTTGTTAGATCAGGTGTGGTCAGAAAATATGGCCGCCGCGAAGCTTCCATCAAGCCCAATCTGTTCCTATGCGTGTCAGAGCTTCAGTTGCACCACTGGGGCTGCCATTTTGACTTTTTTGACCTCACCTTGGCAGTCTGCTCCTCAGCTGCTTTATTTCAGATCAGGAAAGACCTGGAAAAGGATTTTATTTTTTCCAAGGATGCTTCACCCTGTTGCTGAAGGCTTCGTTTGGCCAGGGAGAGAAGGACAGGATATAAAATTTGGCAGAAAGCAAAATTTTGCTTCGGTTTCATATTTTTTTCCTCCCTCCCCCCCGGCCTTCTATTTCCTTTGCTGTTTTGGAAATAATAATGTTTTCCACATTGCGACTCTGAAATAACAGTTCCTCCCTCTCTCTTCCTCCCCCTTACATTTTCTGATCAGCTTTTTCGTTCCGCGAAGATCATGAAGGTTTCACGGATTCCCATGGACTTCGTTAAAAGAAAGAGGAAGGGGCAGGATTAGAGACGAAGGCTGCCAAATACGTTCCCTCAACCCAGTGATTGGTTGTCACGGCCATCTGCAAATGATAGCTCTTAGGAGGGTTAACAAAGCAAACATTACATTCTCTCAAATGATGATAGAATAAAAGCGGGGGAAGCAGTTACCAAAATAATATACTAGGCCTGACATAAATCGGATTTGAATACATGTCCATTATCCGGGTGGAAAATTCATATTTTTTGCAGGTTGAAGTCCTAAATTCTCCACTGTTCTATGCAGAAAACGGCCCACAGTTACTAGCTGGAGATATGAGAGAAGACAGCAGTTAGTTCTCGACTTACCAGCTGGGAAGGTTAACCAATGGCAGTCACGTGACCTCGGGACGGTGCAACTGACCTAAGTACATGTCAGTTTCTAAGCCTCTGAATTTTGATCACGCAAGGATGTAAAGACCAGTAACCTGGGAAAAAAAAAACATCCTAAACTGTAGTCACTTAAAAAAAAAATTAAATAGATTTTAAATTTATTTGCAACCTCTCTCGCCGGGAGATTACCCTAGCTGTAATTGCTGAGCGCTAAAAATGCGGTCACGTGACCCGGGGAGGAGAGGGAGACGGGGAAACTTTGGAACTGGGTCCTAAACATCTTTTTTTTTTTGGTGTGGGGGTGCGTGTGTCTGTTATAATGTCGAATGACCACTAAGCAACCCGCCGTAAGTTGAGGACTGCCTGTGTATTATTCTGCAGAACGTGGGAATATCAAAGTTTGCAGATGTTGATGGTCAAGAAGCTCCAGCAAAGTCACAAAATTTCTTCCCCTGTCTTCTCTACCCCCCCTCCTCACCCCGGTGCCTTTCCACCCGAGTTTAATGCCTCGGTTGTGCTGGAAACATTTATAAAGAATCTCACTTCAAATCCATCTCACCCAGCAAGCAGGGTGGTTCCCTTCTCCTAAAAATAGAAGCTGAGATTTTGGCGTGTAACTGTCCATCCCCTCCAGCCGTGGTCCCGCACATGGAGCAGGGGCTTGATAAAACAGCCAAGTGATGGCAGATCCCCTCCAGATTTCATTAACCTCCCATGGGGGGGAAGAAGGATCAGCTCTGCCAGTCTCGTGGCCTTGGGAACGTCTTTGGCATTCTTCGCGGAGGACAAAAAGGCCAAATATATTTAGAAAGAATCCAGAGGGAGCCTGCGGCTCTATTAGTCCCCTACCATGCTGAAGGATACCCAGAGCTCAGAATGGTTAAACACTTTGCATCCAGATAATTCTGGGTGCACAATGAAGGCAGCTGGGGACGTTGTTATAAGATAGGCAAGTCAATAAAATTATTCAGATTTGTTTGGGGAATTTTTACACGTGGCAAAATAACAAAGTTGGAAGGGACCTGGGAGGTCTGCTAGTCCAACCCACTGCTCAGGCAAGAAATCCTACACCATTTCAGACAAATGGTTGTCCAGTCTCTTGTTAAAAGCTTCCAGGGATGGAGCACCAACAACTTCTGAAGGCAGGCAGTTCCACTAATTAATTGTTCCCACTGTCAAGAAATTCCTCCTTAGTTCCAGGTTGCTTCTCTCTTTGGTTAGTTTCCATCCGTTGCTTCTTGCCCTGCCTTCAGGGGCTTTGGAGAATAAGTTGGCTCCTCTCTTCTTTGTGGCAGCTCCTCCAATACTGGAAGACTGCTATGCTATCATGTCCCCCACCCAGCCCTTCTTTTCACTAGACTAGACATACCCAATTCTGGCAACCATTCTTCAGATGTTTTAGCCTCCAGTCCTCTGGAAGGACCCATCTGCCCTTGACCCAAAATCTAGCTTTTGTTCACAGTGGGATGGAAGAAGGTCGAGGTCAGGCGAGGATTGGATCTGTGACAAGTTCTCCAGATGGTTGGCTGCCGTGTTCAACAATGTTTGCAAGGACAAAATGATTGTTTGATTTGCTGTCACATTGCTGAAAGCAACATGGGAGGGCCAGAATGACTGAGAACATTGTAATGCTCAGGAAACACCCTCTTTCAAAGGGGTTCTAGTTCAGGAGATTAATTGGGACCTGGATGATTGTTGCTAGAGCAGTGTTTATCCCAAGGTTGCCACGTTTGAAAGTCCCTGTCTTGGGTGACTTCACCAGGCTTCCTTTGGTTTTCTTGGACTGTTCTCAAAACCACGTTAGCAAACTCCCTCTGGAGCTCCAGCCAACTGTAGGCTCTAGAAGCCACCTGTGCTCCAGGATTGTTGTTCTTCTGCAGAGGTTCTATGAACCTCTGCAGTTTGTCAGCCATTTGTCTCTTGTTTTTGATCTCCTGACGACACATTGATGGCTCTGCTTTCTTTCTGTCCAGCCACTTTCCATGACACCCACCTGCGTGATGTTCTACAGATCGCCTTCAGCCATGTCGCCACCTTCCAAAAACCGATTCAAGCGACAAAGCCGGATCTTCTCCCAGGTCTTGTACCGGACCCTAAGCTACAAGGATCGCAGCTCGGTGGCCACTTATTCGGGGTCAAGCAAGGAGGATCCGTCGGAACTGTCCACCCAGGTCTCGGCCCCGGGAGTCCTCAAGATCTTTGGATGTCATGTCTGTGTGGGGACTCACTACAAGAGTGTCTTGGCCACGGCCAGCTCGTGTGCCCAGGAGCTGCTGAAAGAAGCTCTTGAGCGGTACGGACTCAGCAGGGTGGATGTGGGCCGTTACGCTCTCTGCGATGTCGTTGGGACGTTTGCTGGCTCGGAAAAGCAGTGGAAGACGGAAGGCTTGAGAATCCTGAGGGACCACGAGAAACCTCTTTTGATCCAGGAGCTTTGGAAGCCCCGGGAAGGTTTCTCTCGGAGGTTTGAGCTTCGGAAGAGGTCCGAAGTGGAGGAGATGACGGCCGAGGACAAGGACACCATCACAGCAGGTGAGCAACAGGAGAAGTTGAGAGCCGTCTCCGCAGCGGCGAGGTTTCAATATCGCAAGCCATCATCTTGTGGTTTGTTGGGTTTGAGCTTAGCATGCAAAACTGCCACGATGGGGGTGGGATGGGGGGTGGGGAGGGAAGGATATACCAACACATGGCTTAGACCTAGAGAAGGATTCAAGGATCTACCCTGGGGAAAACCTGGCGGAGACGAATTATTCAGCCAAATAGGTACGCTGAGTGAAAACCATAAGGAAGCTTTGGAAGGTGTAGCTGGAGGCTCTGGGACTTCCCATGGATTAGGCTTTGGATGAAGTGGGTGGAAGGGGAGAACATTTGGGTTGAAATCTTGGCTTGGCCAAAAGTCCTTCAAACTGGATCACTAGCCTTGTTTGTTGGTTGGTTGGTTTGACCCTAAAAGATGGATGTTTTGGCAAGCAAAGGATCAGCACTGGATCCCTTCCTTGCTGAAGGGCGAGGACTGCAATGCAGCGGTAATCCCAGCAGCATTTATTTGTAAGGCTGCAACGGTGCATACAATCGAGATGAAGGGCAGGAGGAGGAGGAGGATTGTCAGGTCCTCAGGGCTCCCTGAGCTTGGCTGTTTTCTGGCAGACGTTTCATGACCCAACTAGGCAACATCATCAGTGCTGTTGTTACCTAGTTTGGGTCATGAAACATCTGTCAGAAAACAACCAAGCTCAGGGACCAGCAGGGACCCCCCATTTCAACCCTGAGCTACAAATATTCTGCCTTAAAAAGCTGAGAACTCTTTGGGCACGCCAGAGAGAGAGGAAGGTCTTAGGGGGGTTGCAGAACCCTCTTCTAGCAGGTTGTCTGAACTTGATTCAGTCTGAAAGCCCCGTCTGGTTGCATCTGCTCACCAAGGGGAGTTTGAAGAACCAAACCTCTCAACCACAAGCCCGAGAGGCTGAAACGGGCCAATCTCTTTGAAAGCAGAAGCTGCTTGGCTGTGGTCAAGAAATACGTCCCGCTGTAGGGCCAAGTCAAACTTTGGCACAGGAGGAGTCACATCACACCCAGAAACCCATGTTTTCATTTGCAACCCAGGCCCAGCGTCCAGCGTCAGCCGTAGCAGCGTGGGAGGGAAATTCAGACCCACAGGCCAGACACAGAGAGGGATAGATTTGGCCACATCCAGGAAAAGTCCTGGTGTTTTTTTTTCCAGCAAAGCTCAGTGAGTTTCAGCAGGGTTTAACCGTCTTCTTTGGAGAGCAAAAACTCCAGAGTGGCTGTTTTCCCCCCCCCCCCCATTTTGCTTTCGTTTGGGGACCCAAAGTCAATACAGAAAGTTCCTCTCCTACAGATAAGGAAATTCAAAGTTGGCTTTCTTTAGCAGAGGAAGCTGGAGGCAGAGTGCTGAAGTTCATTTTTTTTTCTTATTTTGATTTGAGTCTTTTTCTTCATTTGGACTTGAGTCTTTTCCTTCGTAGAATGCTAAGATTGGAAGGGACCTGTAAGGTCTTCTAGTCCAACCTCCTGCTCAAAGCAGGAATCTTACACCGTCTCTGATCAAAGTTGTCCGGTCTATTTTTGAAAACTTCCAGGGATGGAGGGCCCACAACTCCAGGAGGCAAGCTAGTCCTTTGAGTAATTGTTCTCGCTGTCAGGAAATTTCTCCTTAGTTTTAGGCTCTCTCTTTCACAAACTTTCATCCATTACTTAAAATACAGGATCGATTTCTAGGGTGAACTGGCATTGTTGACAGATTATTAAGATCAGGAGAATGATGGAAGACAAAAAGATAAAACAAGCTAAAATCCTTCCAGGCTGGCCCATCCTTGAAGCTTTGCCTCTCTTCCCTCCACTCAACCTTCTGGGGACTGTCTTAATTCCAAAACTCAGGATTTTTGATCTCAGCTTTGACCCTGGGCTTGTTTTACAATGCATAGTCATCCCTCCTGCTCCCATGAAAAGCTTCAAGATCAAGAAGGTTCTTAAACAGCTTGAATCAATTGGACTCAAGAAGCTTCTTGGATGAGAAGCAAAACATTTTTCAAGAAAAAAACAAAAAAGTCCAGTTGCTCTTTGGGAAAAGCACCTTTGAGGAAACCATGACCTGGATGATTGAGAAGCTCCATAGATATTTGCTGCAAGTATCGATAACCTAATCAAAACTCAACCTAAGTTTTGCCTCCAGCTCTAGATTTAAGTTTGGACTTTCAGCTGCTCTTCCTGGGAGTCCAGAATCTTCATTGCCTGAACCTTGAGTGTCAAATGTCCACATTTTCTCCTCCACACTTCAGTTTTGCTTCTTGGGAGGGTACTTCGGCCCCTTTTTTGGTGGCCAAGTGGTCCAGCTTGACCTGAAATCGTTGCTTGTTATTGCGATAGACTATTCTGCTCTATTTGTCCTTCTTTTGCCTAATCTGGAGGCATATAAACAAATCCAGTAAGCATCTCTGGCCAATCCCTGCTCCAGTCACCTCTTTTGAGTTTCCCAGCAAAGACAGAGTTTAAAGCAAACAACAAAAAAATGTATTTGAGTACTGCAAGACCGTTCCTCACCAAATAAGGTAGATTGCTTGGTGGACTCTAAGCCGTTTCCTTTATAAATGGGCTTGGATGGTTTTCTGACCCTGATTTCTTGTTTCATCCACAAAGAAGCTGGCTCTTTTCATTCTTTCTCCACCTTCTTCCAAGGGGGGGAGGAGAGTCCCATCTCTAAATTTTGCTTCTGTCCAGGAAACGCAGAGGTTTATTATTTTTTAGTCCCCCACTCAGGGACTGTGAGAAAAACTTGAGAAATCTAGTTTGGGGAAGATAATGGAAAGTTTTATGGAAAACGGTGGTCCACCTCAAGAAGAAGGCGATATCTCACTTCTTCGGGAAAACTGCGGATAGAAGATGGGAGAAGGGATCACCAGGACCAGCTGCCCCAGAGAATGGAGGACAGAGGTAAATCCATTCAATGCATGTGTGGGTCCAAATAAAGTTGTGGGTTCACCCATACTCGAGGTGGGTGCTCCATTGCTGGAGGTCCTCAAGAAAAGATTGCACAGCCATTTTTTCCAGGATGGTAGAAGGACTCCTGCCTTGGGCAGAACATTGGAGACCTCCAAGCTCCCTGTGATTCTATCGATTATTTTTTCAGATTGGCGTAGTTGGATCCACACCCCACGTCCCAAACTCTTTTGGGGCTTCCTTCTTCAAGAGTCCACCCAGACTGCTTGAACTGTTTAGCAATAAGGTACCTTCGCTGGTCCTCCTTTGATGGTTGAAGAGCCAAGGTGTCAGAATAGGAGAAAGGAGAAGAGAGATTGCTCCTCTGGTTTTGCATGAGGCGTATATCGGACTTCTGCGTTTGCATTTACAAGCTTTGTCGTGCCCCAAGGTAGAGACACATTCTCCCTCTCTCTCCTGGAGAGACGGTGTGGAGAAGTTAATTGTTCCTTTCCTCTGCAGCTAATGCGCAGAGTCTCCACTGCAGTCGGCAAGTCCTGTCAACCAGCCAGTGTGCTGGCAAATGAGCTTGGCTTCAAGCTAGTAGGGAGACCGATACCCTGGGAAGCCCTTGGTTCAACTTTGCGGTAAGACGTTGATGCTCTTCAACCTTGTTCACTCCAGGGAAGCAGATCCGTCCTCTGCATTCAAGCTTTGGCTTATTTCCAGGGATTTGGGGAGGGAGGGAGAGCAAGAGAGGAAGAGACTTTTCCCTTTGCTTAATCCCCCCCACCCCCACCCCGTAACAGAAGGCAGGCTGGGAAAGGTTGCTGCACAAGATGTGAAATTGGATTTGTGCGTGTTTTGTGGTTCGTGTGTCAGAAGAAAGAACGGAGCTGCTGAAAGGGCAGAAGGGAACCTGGAAAAGGCTGACGGAAGGTGGGGGGGAAAGCAAAGAGAAATGCCACTTGTCTGGCCCAGCCAGATGGTCTTTTGGGGTGTGTGGGTGTGTCTCTCTGTGTGTGCAATCTCTCTTGGAATATATTTTTGGCTGTTGTTCTGCAGCATGGCTTGGGAGGGAGGCCAGAATGGAGAGCAGAAATAGGGAAACATCTTTATCCCCGGCAGCTTGATTTTGATGATGGATAAGCGGCCCCCTCCTTTTCCTTGACCGCCATCCCAAACTTTTTTTTTTGTTTCAAATGCGTATTTCCTAAAGTTAAAAAGGAATCTGCATTTCGCCAGGATGCGGCTAGTTACAAGAGGTCACAGAAGGGGCCAGCTTAGCAGGGAAAAAAAAAAAAAAAAAAAAAAACTAGAGGTCCCCAGATGTTCCTATTGAAATTGGCATGAATTTACCGCAAAAAAAAGTGGGTTGAAATGAGGTGAAGCAGCCATCTGCAAAAGGACTCCAACTTCCTCGTTCGATCTTCTCCCTGGAATTGTGGGGTGTTTTTTTTTCATTTCCTTTTAATTAAAGTCAGACCTGAGGTTTTCTCATTTCGTCATCCTGGTATTTCCCACCAGAGTTGACTTGTATTGATTCTTCTATATGTGTGTGTGTGTATATATCTATATCTATATGTCTATATCTATATATATGACATATGTATATGTATGTGTATGTATGTGTATTTGTATATATCCTATCCTATCCTATATCTGAAATTGAGTATGTTTAGTGAAGAGAAGGACATGATAGCAGTGTTCCAATATTGGAGGGGCTGCCACAAAGAAAAGGGAGTCAAGCTATTCTCCAAAGCGCCTGAAGGCAGGACAAGAAACAACGGATGGAAACTCATCAAGGAGAGAAGCAACCTAGAATTAAAGAGAAATTTCCTGACAGTTAGAACAATTAATCAGTGGAACAACCTGCCTCCAGAAGTTGTGGGTGCTCTAACACTGGAGGTTTTTAAGAAAAGATTGGACAGCCATTTGTCTGAAATGGTATAGGGTTTGGACTAGAAGACCTCCAAGGTTCCTTCCAACTCTATTATTCTGAAATAATGTCTAGCACTGTTCTTCACAATCAGGGCTCAGAGTTGATAATTTGACAGAAGTGGACCTTGAAATAAATTCAAGTCTTCTAGAGACTTCATGAATATGTCCATGACATTCCCTTGGCAACAGTATAGAAATCTTATCTGTGCCTTCTTCATGGATGTTGTTTCAATGTCCATCTTGCAGTCTGAAGATCTCTTGAGGTTCCTCAGGCTTCCTGCTTCATTTTAAAGACCAGCCAGGATCAATGAGGAGCATCTGTTTAGCTGGGTCCTTCATCCCAACCAACTGGGAAGTAACGGAGGTGGGATAAGGGGTTCCTGATGGAATTCCTTGCTTCAAGGAGGGATGATGACCAGCTATCCAGATGGATCTTAGTTGCGTCTGTACGGAGCCTCCAAGGTTAGGAGAAATGCATTATGAGTAAGAAAAGAAGCATCCGGGCCCTAGAGGGCAAGACAGGATGTTGGCTTAGATGGTGCAGATGGTTAGATGGGTCTTATCTGCCAACTTTCTTCTCCTTCACCCCCAGGAATTAATGCCCAGGCTCGGAAGCTCCAGCGCAACCGGACCAAAGGCACCATGACCCTCTTGGCAGCTTGCCATACTTCGCCCCCCAGCCTTAGGCGCACTGTCAGCGAGACCAGCCTTAGCCAAGCAGGCCTCCCGGAGGACCAGAAAAAGGAGGGGCCTCTTCGGCGGCACTACTCCACACTGCCGGAGACCCTCCGATGCATGGAGGGGGTGCCAGACGGGCGGGCATCTGCCGCCACTGAAGAGGCAAACGGAAGCAGCACCTTGAGGCTCTCCCTCTATCAGTCCCCACATCTTCTGCTCCTGCAGGGATACAGCCAGCAACATGTAAGTGTCCCCTCTTACCTAAGCCAGCCTTTTTCAAGCTGCCCCCCTGCTAGATGCCTTGGACTGCACCTCCCATTATCCCCAGCCAACTCCCAGGTGTGTTGGAAAGCCATGGCCATGATTGATGGTGGCCAGGATGCTCCTCTGCCTTGGAGTTTTCTAGATTGCAACAAGAGCTCCCTAGCCAGCTTCTGTGACCCCTTCCTTTCAGAAGAGTAGGACTGTAACTCCCATGTTCCCCAGCCAGACTTCTTCCCCATCCTGCTATTCTCTAGATCAGGGGTCTTCAAACTTGGCCTTTTTATGACTTGTGGACTTCAACTCCCAGAATTCCTCAGCCAGCCCTGGCTGGATGAGGAATTCTGGGAGTTGAAGCCCACAAGTCTTAAAGTTGCCAAGTTTGAAGACCACTGCTCTGGATCCATACCTTTGCCATTCTTCTCAATCGCCTCCCTTCTCAGCCAGCATCCCCTCCATCCAACCCCAGGAGATTGTCCACCATCCCAGCAGGTGATCCTTCATCTGTGTGGAGGAGGGAAGTTCTAAGTTGCTTTTGGTAGCCCCCTTGTTGGGCTGTGAAAGGGAAGTCCCCCCCCTGAACGTGGCATGAGGGTCCCCCCAGTCAGAACAGGTTGCCCTGAGCTCGGCCCTGTCTACCTGCTTTGTGTGTTGGACTCTGTAGGACAGTCTGGTGTACCTGTTGAACCGCGAGCAGCACACAGTTGGCCAAAGGACTCAAGCCAGCAAGCCAAGTATTAGCCTTTCGGCACCGGACATCCTTCCTCTCCATTGTTCCATCCGGCGGGTGAAGCTGCCCAGCCGTTCTCACCACCGCTCCGAAGAGAGACTCATCTTGGAACCCATCCCTGGCGCCAGCGTCTCCATCAACTTCTCCGAGGTGGGAAAGACGGTGGTCCTCCGTCACGGGGACCTCATCTCCCTTGGCCTCTCCTACTTGTTCCTCTACAAGGACCCTCTGAAAACTCAGCTGCTGCCCACCCAGACGCTGGTGAGGCTGAAAGCCCTGCGCCGGGCTTCTGAAGCTGAGCTGTCATCCACCTGCAAGATGTGTGGCACCCATTTCAAAGACAAGGCCTCTTCTTCTTCCAAAAAGCAGGATGTCCAGTCCTACTCTGGCCGGAAGAACGGCCGGAGAAAGCTACAGCTGGAGTTTGACAAGGCCAACGAAGATCTCTTGCTGAGAAGAGTCATGACGCTCATCGAACCCACAGGAGATGACCACAAGTTGGCGCCGGCCTTTTTACTGTGTCTCTGCATCCAGCACTCGGCCACCCGTTTTCGGCTGGGAGACTTTGGGCAGCTGCTCCTCAAGGCAACGAAAATGATCCAGAGGAGCGTGTGGGTCAGTAGATTGGTTAGAGAAGGAGAAAACGGGAGGATTGGCAATTTGGGGGTTTGATGGTGGGACATTTTTAGTCCTTGTCAGTTTCAATCTGTTTTCACTCCCTCTCTTTCTCTCTCATATCCAAGGGGTCCTTGGTGCTCTCTGAACTTGGCTGTTTCATTGCAGATGTTTCATGACCCAACTAGGTAACATCATCAGTGCTAGAAGGGAGTGTGGTTTGCAGAGTGGAGAAGGAGGAGGATTATGGGGTCCTTGGTGCTTTCTGAGCTTGGTGGTTTTCTTGCAGACGTTTCATGACCCAATTCGGGAACATCATCAATGCTAGAAGGGAGTGGGGTTTGAGAATTAAGAATGGGGAGACGTGGAGAAGACTGTGGGGTTCTTGGTGCTCTCTGAGCTTGGTTGTTTTTTTTTGCAGATGTTTCTTTCCCCAACTAGGTAACATCATCAGTGCTAGAAGGAAGGGGTTTGCAGAGAGGAGGAGGAGGACAGCTGTGGGGTCCTTGGTACTGTGGGTTTATATAGAAACGGCTTGCTCAGTCAGTGTTGATGGGAATCTTCTTGGTGGTTCGTTGACACTAGGCTCTTATTTACTGTTTGTTTGTCTGAGCTGATAGTTCCTTGATTGGGGTATTGTTTACTGCTAGGGGTTAAGACTCCCACCAATACTGACAAGGCAAATGACTTGTACATAAAGAGAGAGGCAACTCCACACTCCCTTACACTGAAGATGTTTCATTCCCAGTTGGGTAATGAAATGTCTGCAGCAAAACAACCCAACTCAGAGAGCACCAAGGACCCCTCATTTCAACCCTGAGCTACACATATATGATCTCCTGTTGGTGCCTCTCTGATCTTCAAGGTTCCTTTCCATTCTTTCCAGGTCAAAATTTGCATGGTATTTTTTCAGAAAATGCAAATTACACAGCTCGCACGAAGATCCTCATTTTTGTACTCGGTTCATGGTAAAACTTCATTGTGTGTGTTCCGGTTCTCAAAATATGCACCATTTATCAGTTTTGCTCTTTTTCAAAAAGCTGTTGCGGTTGGCGCGACAACCTCAAATTCAAAATGGTGTTTTTTTTGAGATCAAAACACTTTCAGAGTGATCAAAGCAGCCTCTTTGACGTGCCAAGCGCTCATGTCAAACTTGAAGGCAGCGTTTTGAATTAAGAGCCAGGCGTTTTGACTTCCAGACCGTTTGAGGTTGAAATAATTTGCAGGGCCCTGCACTGAATGGAATCTGCATTTTAATTGCCACACTCATCTAGGCAGCGTGAATTGGGTTGGTTTTCATAAAAATGTAGATGAAATCTTTCGTTATCCTCATAACAGCTACCAGAATGGAATGTGTGGTCCAGCAGCTAGAAATCTTCGAAAAGAACGTTAATTCTTGCACATAAATGGTGCTGTTTTGCTTATCCCATGCAATGGAACCCATACGTTCCCGGAGCCTGGAGATCACAGATAGCTTTGTCCATTTCTGTAGATCACTGGCACAGATTTTAATTTTTTAAAATTTGTTCCTATGTGCTTTCTGATTCTAGGAGAAAACAAACGAGCTTGCAGAGAAACAATCCTTACAGTAAGTGCTCTGTATTCGTATTTCTTTCAAGAAGAGTTGAACAGTGATTCATATTTCTATATTATCTGTGTGTAAGGGTGTAGGTCTGTACATATGTTGTGTATAGCATGTTTAAATGTGTGTTATGTATGTGTACGCTTTGAGGGCAAGCAACTCAATTTCATTTTTAATGTGGGCCATTGTGCCCACAGTAAAAAATGACAATAAAGGTCTAAGCCATCTTAGACTCCTTTTAATTCTTGGTCTGTTTTGTCAGCCAGGATCCAGCGTCGCTTTCCCGCTTTACCATCACAGACCTTCTCCCCGACCTTCAGCATGTGCTTTTCTGGATGTCCAACTCCATCGAAATCCTGTATTTCATTCAGCAGAAATCCCCCGTTTACATCCAGAACATGGAAGAAGAGCTGGACATCAAGGGTAAGTGGAGGAATGTCCATCCATGGAGTTGAGGTGTCACTAAGAGATTCCTCAAAATTTTGATTCAGAACGTTGAGTAGAACTTGACTTTCACCCAGTGCCATTGGGGAAGCTGGTGGCCCTCTAAATATTCCTGAACTCCACTTCCTTCCATCCTCAGCCATTTTGGATGAGAAAGCGGTATATAAGTCTCGCAAATAAATAAATAAATAAATAAATTTGAAATGTCCCTTGATTTCTTTAATTGCAATCCACCTGGAGATCTATTGTGATTAAGCCGGTGGAGGATCACTAGTTCCCTATCTCTGCTGTGCAAGCAACCAATTTATGGGCCACCAGCTGGACCACGAAAGGTCCTACAAGGCAAACCACGTGCATCTTTTTCTCCTTTGGGGTTGTCCAGCCAAAGAGAAATCCCCACTCAGCTTAACAGAAATAATTCCCAAGCTTGAGTTGGATGAACACTGGCTGGTTGACCTTGTGTTATCTTGGGTACTTCTCCTCTTCCCTCCCCCCGCCCAGCTTCATCCCAAAGGGAAAAAGAGAGCAAACAAACCATGTTCTGGACGGCTTCCATGTTTTTGTCCTATCTCAGTTCCCATGCTGATAGTACAGCGAAGAAGGTCAAGGGAAGAGAATTAAATTCCACTGAAAATTCAGCTTCAATCAGTGGATTCAATCCAATCCCTCCCCCCCCACCCCCTCAAAGTAGAAAGCTAGCATGTCAGGAGGAAGAAGACTTCTAAAAGTTGGCTTCTGAGTTGAGCTGATCCAGAAGTCTGATTCTGAAATCTCCACATAGAGGTTTATCTTTCTTTCCCCACAGGTTCCAAGGAATCCCTCTTCTCCTTGACCATCACAGCCAGTGAGGAAGCCATGACAGTTCTTGAGGAAGTGATCATGTACACCTTTCAGCAGTGTGTTTATTACATCTCCAAGGTACGTCAACCCGAAGTGGCTCCAGGGAGTCAGGAAAATGGGGATGTTTGCGGAGTCCCTTCCCTCTTTCCTAACTAAAGAATTAGCTAAAACAGGAAGGTATGTTTTGCAAGAAGAAACCAAACCCATGTTTGAGACTAGCTTTTTCCCTGCAAGGCTGAGGATCAGTTAGAGGAATTAGATCCCCCGTCTTGGTGTGAATGATACGGGCTGAAAAACTCAGGAATTTTGTTGGTTGATCTTGGCCGTTCTTACAAAAGTTCAGTTGGGCTGTACATGGACGGTAGACTTCAGGAGATTTCAGTATTGCAAATTAAACAAGGGAAGCGAGACTTGCAAAAGTGGGCCACCAGCGGTTCTCCAGATGTTCCTGCATCACAATTTCCATCAGCCACTGCCAGCAACAAATAAGAATCCGAGACTGGGCCTGTCGTTGCTTCTGGCCCAGCAAGCAAGGACTATCCCTTCAGAGCTTCGAGAGAAAGTAACATGTGACAGAACTGGATTCTTCAAGGCATATTATGAATTTGTGACTGTCTTCTTTGCCCGTCCTGTGTTTGTAGACTAATAGGGCACAACAGGAAATGTTCCCATGTTGTGGCCAAGAAAAACAGCACATCTGCCTCCATTGGGTCACCAGAAATCCCTTTCAGCTTGACGGAGAGTTTCTGCTTTCAGAAGCTAAGAACTTTTCTTATGCTCGCGATGGGACTCTCCTTTCATGAATGGCTGAAATGGGCAAAGATCTCCTTGCTGAGTTCCTGGTTCCTCACCGGTCCAGGAGGGGAAAACAGAGCTGTTGGAAAAGAGTCTGATTGTACACCACAAGGAAAGAAGGGAGGGAGAAAGACCAAGGAGTCGTGAAAGGAGAAACATCTGGACAGCTTCCCAAGTTGGGGGAGGCTCCCATTTCACCCCATGCTGGGAGTCAGTCCAGAAAGGGTTGAGTTCCTTCTTGGGGCAGGACGTCACCCTGTCCTTCAGACAGAAGTCTCCTTTCTTCCCTTTTGCACAACAGGCTGCTCTGTTTGGGTTTGTTCCTCCCCATCTTCGGGGGGAGGGCAGAGATTCCTTCTGCTTGGGGGGGAGCGAAGGGGGCAGAGCAGATTTGAGAGCATGTCCTGAGGCGCGGGAAGGGCCTCCATCCGAAATTTTTGCAGCATAGCAGAAATATAAGCGAGAGGAGACGAGTGCCTCCCAGGAATTTGCAATCCAGATGTTAGATGGAATAGTAGAGGCAGCAGAAGAGAGAAGCCAATTGCTGCATTAAGACACAAACAAAAACAAAAACCTTAAATGCATTTTTTTTCCTCTTTGCAGAAACAAATAAGATCAGGAGGCGGGGTGGGGGTGACCTTGAAGCCTAGGCAAAACCCAGATGGAAAACTGAGCTGGAACACAAGAAGGGCATCACCTGAGGGTTCACCTTTGCATCTACCTGAGCTGCGCTCACAATTAGAATAGAGCTGGAAGGGACCTTGGAGGTCTTCTAGTCCAACCCCCTGCTGAAGCAGGAGACCCTATACCATTCCAGACAAGTGGCTGTCCAGTCTCTTCTTAAAAACCTCCAGTGATAAAGCACCCACAGTGTCTGAAGGCAAGCCGTCCCACTGGTTAACTTTCACTGTTAGGAAGCTTCTCCTTAATTCCAGGTTGCTTCTCTCCTTGATGAGTTTCCATCCATTGTGTCTTGTCTTGCCTAAGTTGACCCCCCTCCTCTTTGTGGCAGCCCCTTAAATACTGGAACACTGCTATCATGTCATCCCCCAGTCCTTCTTTTCTTTAAACTAGCCAAACTCAATTCCTGCAACCGTTCTTCATATGTTTTAGTCTCCCGATCCAATTCAACACCTCCTGTTTCTTATTTCTCCTTCTTCTCTCTGTCCCTCTTTCACAGTCCCTTTATGTGGCTTTGCCCCCGTTATTGGAGTGTAACCCCTTTCAAAGTGAAGGCCAGGATGGCTGGGTCTCCTCTCCTCAGTTGCCCAAGGAAATCCGCAAAGTGGTTCTGATTTACCAAGCCGCCCTGGACCTTCTCCATCAGTACGATGTCCATCCTGAAGTCACCTCCCAGATGTTTGCCTACCTCTTCTTCTTCTCCAACACCCTCCTCTTCAACCAGCTCATGGAAAAAGGTGAGTGGCTTCCCACCAAGGCAAGGACAGTTGGGTCATCCTGGCTTGGGGAACTCATAAAACCACGGGGCACTTTGCTCCGTCTCCCAGTGACCTGCAACGCAAGGATCTCCTTTTCCTTCTGTGGAACTTGAAAGACTCTGGAAATACGTCGGTCAGGTGTGGCTGATCCATTCCTTGTCCCTACTCTCTCTGGCCCAGGTTCTTCTCTGGGCTGTTTCCACTGGTCGAAAGGGGTCAGGATACGGGCTACCTTACATCTCCTTCTGGAATGGGCCCAGAGCGTGGGCCTGGGGCCGTTAGCTGACCAGTTCTTCATCAAGCTCTCCAGCATCGCCAGCCTGTTAGCCATGCCAAATTCTCAGCTGCTGCAGGTGAGTGTGTAGACGAGGGTGAGTTATGCCTGGCTGACCACATATTGAAGGCCACACAGTCGAAAACATGGAAATATTTTTTAAGCAGGTTTTCCATTCCTGCATTTGTAGGGATCGGAAACACGGCTTTCGGGGAAGCTTTCCCCAAACCTGCACGTTAGCCCAACTGAAACAACTTAGAAATAAACAGAATTTAAAAAAAGAAAGCTTATCCGAGGCTTCCTTACTTTGCTCAGATGACCTGGCCAGTTTTGAGAAGTGAATTTCCTGCCTTGAACGCAGCACAGCTCCATCACATTTTGATGCAGTACCAGACTTCATCTGCCATGGGGTGTGTCTCTGCATGGCAACCCAGCAACAGTGATGCTCTTGCAGCTGTGAGGACAGGTGAGGCTTCAGATATTATGAGGCTGGGCTGGTTGACCTGGAAAACCTCAGGCTAGAACCCTGGAGAAGCTTTAGCAGAAGGTCCATTAACATGTTGTTCCAAACCTGGAGGTTTCCAAGACAAGCTGAGGTTCAGTTTGTGAAATTACATGGTTTTCAGAGGTGCACCCTGGAGATGGGGTGGGTGGGTGGGTGGAACAGCTGGATCTTGGGGCCAAAGGGGTTCCACTCAGCCTGGCAGATGTTTATAGGCCCCAAACCTCCCTCCCAAATGGAGTCTTTGGCACTGCCCCATTTTGGACTTGACATGAAAAGCTGGATGGGGTGTTGAGTTGAGGGACGTTGTACCCGACATAGTCTAGGACAGGGGTAGGCAACCTTGGCTCTTTTATGACTCGTGGACCTCATCTCCCAGAATTCCTGAGCCAACCATGCTGGCTCAGGAATTCTGGGAGTTGAAGTTTGCCTACCCCTGGTCTAGGAACAATGTGGATTCAAGCACAGATTGAAACAAAATGGTTTGATGGGAGGGCTGTCCCTTGCAGATGACATTATGGAATCTTTTGATAACCATCCACCCATCATGCTGCCCACTGGAGGGTTCAAGGTGGACCTGGAGACCGATCATCTTGATGACAATGTCTACCGCCACCTTCTGTACATCCGCCATTTCCTGTGGAGCCTACGCAGCAAAAGTCCCCACTCCAGTGACTCTCTGGAGGCAGAACCCCCAAAGGTAACCCCACTCTTTAGTTTTGATGGATTTCAAAAATTCTGCTTCAGCAGAATGTCAATCTTATAGAAGCATAGTCTCCTTTGAGTTCAGTTGGATTGGAGGCTATGCCAAGGATAATGTGGGACATTGGTAGAAATGTCCTGAAGTGGGAGAAAAACATAAAATAATTTTTTTGAAGGAGAAGAATAATTTTTTGGGGTGGAACATAGTCTGGATTCCCAGGAGGGGGTGGAGAGCTGCATTCCAGAGGACCAAGAGACTGCAAAGTTTAGATAGATTGGTTGGGAGAAAGAGAATCAAGATAGGTCCTCCTTAGAAGTTCTCAAGAGTGTACTTTTATTGATGCAAGTAGTTGCCTTAGCTTGGCAAGATTCTGTCTGTAGGTGAGGAACAATAAAAGAATCTGCTCAGAAGAACCTCAATGTGTCTTTCTTGGTTTTTGGAGCCTGATATTTTTCTTTGTTTTCCTACTATTTTCTTAAAGACGGAAACAATCAGCTGCCAAGTGACCCCTCCAGCAGAGTCTGAGACAATAGTTGGATCAGTTGAGAGTGCCTTTGACTGGACAAATGGCAGGCAGATGATGAACTGTGAGAAGCTAAAGATGGGGGAGAACGTCTCCCAGGTCACTGGGACCAACCTATCCATCCCAGACTATGGGACTGGTGAAACACAGCTAGCTAAGACCCTCCAACAGCACCATCTTGAGAGACCAAAGGGGAAGAACGGGACTAAGGCGGTCACTGTGTCCATGGACTCTTCTTGTTTGCTGACCCCGCCCAACACACCCCTAATCTTTGACTCCATTGGTCGGGAATTGTCCCCAGAAACTACTCCTGGGAAGGACATCCCAGAGCCTCGGAGGAATGGACTCAATGGCACCAAAACCCCAATCCAGGAAGGTATGAAGGATTGTTAATTAGGATGGGATGGCGAACAGTTTGACCTTCAAGATGAGGAGACTGTTGAAAGGAAACCACTAAAGGAGAATACGGGTCCTAGGTGCTCTCTGAGCTTGGTTGTTTTCTTGCAGAGGTTTCATTACTCAAACTAGGTAACATCTTCAGTGCTAGGAGGAGGGAGGTTTGCACAGAGGAGGATGAGGAGGAGATCTTTGGGGTCCTTGGTGCTCTCTGAGCTTGGTGGTTTTCTTGCAGACGTTTCGTGACCCAATTAGATAACATCATCAGTGCTAGAAGGAAGTGGGTTTGCAGAGAGGAGGAGGAAGGGGGCAGCAGGAGGAGGAGGAGGACTGTGAGGTCCTAGGTGCTCTCTAAGGTTGGTTGTTGCCTTGCAGGCCTTTCATGACCCAACTAGGTAACATCATCAGATGTTAGGGGATGAAACGTGTGCAAGAGAACAACAAAGATTTACAATGCTTTCCCAGCAATGTGGCAGGAAGTTATTCTTTTGAGGAGCTGCAAATCTGGTTTCATTTAGGCGTGCTTTTTGCAAATCTCTGACATTATTATAATGGTGATAATTACCTGCTGCTGCTTTTATAAAAATTGCTGGGCTAATGTTTCTTCAGTGCTTTGGGCCATTTTCAGTGGGGGCGGAGGCTCTGCACTCTGTATCCCACTGTGCTAATTGCGCCCAAAGCAGCCTTATCCGTCTTAGTAGAGAAAGGGGGCAGAAATGGAAACAAAATGCAGGAATAGAACACAACCCACTCCACCCCTGTGGAGGAAAGCTCAACATTCCCAGTGATTATACAGGTTAGAAATCCAGCTAGATCCAGGTTGGGGGAGGATGGCTTATGAAATTCAAAGGAGCTGACAATAGTGTGTGATGTTTATAAAAGCAGAATCGGGTTACTTTTTCTCTCCTTGGCCTCAGGATCTTCTCCCACGCCCTACGACTTTCCTACTCCGGCTTCTTCGAATCGCAGCTCAGCCACTGATGATTTTTGCTACGTCTTTGTGGTGGAACTGGAAAAGGGGCCCATCGGTTTGGGGATGGGGCTGATCGACGGCTTGGTGAGTAGGTCTTCTGGGTGAAGTGATACAAAGTGAGGACCGCAAGGGGTAGCTTCCAGGAGCTGTGGTTGATAGCTCCCACATTTCTCTCTGCTAGCCCTGGTCCCTGACATGGAGGGAAGGTGTAGCTGAACAACATTTGTTGGTTCGATGGCCTTTCTTGAATTAGTGCTCTGCAGATGTGCAGGACTAGAATTTGTATCTTCCTCCTACCACTGTAGCCAGTGGGAATTCCAGTCCATCCCACTTGGAGACTGCTGGATTGAGGAAGGACTCCAAAATACGTCTGTTTTAGGAAGGAAGGATGGAATTAAGGTAGCACAGAAGATCTGGAACTTCTCAACTGTGATGTCCTGGGTTCTTCTCTCTCTCTTAATTACTCTGCTTGTGGCTGAACTGGTATATTGGAACTTACTCATGTTCTTCTGCTCTTCTGTCCTCTGTCTTGCAGCATACCCCTTTAAGTTCTCCTGGGATCTACATTCGGACTTTGATCCAAGACAGCCCAGCAGCAGCAGATGGCAGACTCTCCATTGGGGACCGCATCCTTGCTGTTAACGGCACAAGCCTCATTGGCTCTCATTACCAGAGGTACAGGCAAAGTAAGGTTGATGGGTTTTGCAGGACACCCATCTCTGACGGTGTCTTCTCTCTGGTGGCTTTTGAAAAGAGAATTCTGCAACTGTAGTCCGGAGATCTTTGGAGGCAACCCAATTTGGGAGCATGTGCTATCCCAGGTCCATCCTTGCTAGTTGGTTTTAATTTCCTTTCTCCCCAGTGGAAATATCGAACATCCCTCGCAAATCTTGAATTTGGGGATAAACTTATTTCTGGGACTGTATGTGAAAAAGATCAAACTCCGTACACAGACGATCAAAACACTGCATGATTCAGTTTTCAAGATGCAGCCTAGAGATACAGACCCTTCATATTCCAGAGACAAATTGTAGATTTCTGTAGCCTTTAATGGGTGGAGCTTCATCCTACAGATGCCCATCGCAATGGATGAAAGTCTCATGGGAGAAGGTAGCTCAGGGTTCTCTCATCCTTTTCAGTTGTTTTTTTTTTCTTTCAGCGCTGTAGACCTCATTCGATCTGGGGGGAAGAAACTGCGCTTCCTGGTGGCCAAGTCTGATCTGGAAGTCGCCAAGAAGATCAGCTATAGTTCTTCCCCTTCTCCGTAAAAAAAAAAACCTGGTCAAAAGCATCCTTCGGCATTCATCTACCGTTGAAGGTTCTCAAGGGTAGCGGAGTAAGCTTGGTAGGACCATCAGCAGTCGACACACTGGGAAGTTCAGAACGCTGCCTGGAGTTGCAATTGGTCAATTTGTGTGTATGTGTGGGGAGGGGGGCACAGCGTCATGGTATCCTGAGACCCAGAGGTTTCCCACCAAGTGCCCCAGTACTGACTACAAAGCATTTTTCAATAGGACATGAAAAAGTTGATCTTCTAGCAACTTCCAAGTACTGGAATTCAGAACAAGCTAACCCCTCCTTGCTTTGCTTTGCAGTGAATTCCATCTGTGTCACACAGTCCTTTTAATACAAAGTTTGCAAGGTTCCCAGCTGGTTACTTGGGATCTGCTGCTGCTAAGGACTTCACTGGTTGCAGATATCTTGCCCACTGTACCAATTGATGTTTGTTGCAATGACTGATCAAGTGAACGGACTTTAAGGATACAGTACTGATACGGACTTTAAGGATACAGCCCTTGGAGGCTCTGAAGCTTTCAGTTCTGGTTTTTGCCCTAATGGTCTCTGTATTCAGCTCAGAATGGTCTGGAACCAGCTGCCTGCTGCGGGGTGTGGAAATCAAATTAGGAGCATTTTAACGAGGTTTGGGAAATAATAATTGCATGCCGGTAACCAAAGATGGATGCTTTATAAAAACATTCCCTTCCTCCGGTTAAGTAAGAAGGGAATGTTGCTATGTACGTAAGGGAAAATGGGCTATTTAAACAAAAATAGAATGGGCGGTTTTCTCTTGCTAGTATGGCTACTTTGCATACAGGATTTCTCTCTTTGGATCATCCGTGGGATAAACCAAAAGCAATAAGAAGGATAGCTCTGAAAAATGACGTCACAGGAATTCTGAGTTGGGATTAGAGTTGGATGAAGACCCCTCCTGGTTGATCATTCTTAATTTAGCCAATCTCACAGGGCTTTCCAGTAAAGTTATCGTATCTGAGAGTGTACATGATGATGTAGATTGCTACCTAAAGTCACTTGAGATTGGAGAAAAAAAAGACAGACAGAAAGAAAAAAGAGGGAAGGAAAGAAGGAAGGAAAGAAAGAGAAAGAAGAGGGAAGAAAGGGAAAGAAAGAGGAAGGAAGGAAAGAGAGAAAAGAGAAAAAGATAAATTTGGGCTGCACTAATCGAGATTACCACTAGACGGCAGCAGATACACAACACAGTAAATCTCTGCTGCCATCCAGTGGCTGTCCAGAGTGCAGCAGTCAGCCTTCTGGTACAGGAGCAGAAGGCTGCCTTCTAATGTCACCTGCTTTGATCAGGACATTCCATTTGGGGGCTTCTCAGACCGAACTCATTGATGAGCTTCGCCAGCGTCTGAAAGACAAGCGGCCAACGCCTGGGCAGGTGATGACATTCAAGTATGACTAGACTCAAATTCAAAGATTTTCCTCTTAGGAACATCAGATGGTTCGAATTGCTGAGGACCAACAGCCAAGAGCCTCGCTCGGCTCTTCCAACCGTCTATGGATGCCAAGACCAACAATCGGGTGGCTGCCACTTTGGCGAGGCCGTGCTGCCCCCTGCTGGGCTGCCGAGTCCCTTTGCAATCCAAAAGGGGAGGCTGGGGAAGAGCTTCCAACCCAGACAAAGGCAGACAGGATTGGTGGCCAGTAGTAACGCTGCAAAAATAATTCCTGAAATAAAGTGGGTTTTAATTGCTTAGCTACCCACTCTCTTCCGGGCTGCTTGCCAAGGACTGCAGGAGAAGTAGAAAATTAAGATCGTGGCATCGAAAAGGTCAGCGTTGCCCAATCGTGGTGCTTCCCAGATGCTTGCTTGAAGGCGCCAAAATCTTCAAGATCAGGAGATCAGTGCTACTTGGGGCCTGGCCTGGCAAGCAGCTGGGGAGGATGGGTTGGGGAACATTGGAAGAATATAATCTCAACGTGTGATCTGATAGGTGGAGGAAACCAGAGTTGGCCCAGGGATCCTCCTCAAGACATCAAATTCACCTGTTCTACTGGCTTACAAAATCCATCTGCACTACTGGCTTGAAAAAAAAAAGACCCATAGAAGTGGATGATGGTCTAAAATGGTGTTGGCAATCCTCCAAATTTGCTGGGTATTTTGTTCTTTCCAGCCCTTCAGCCAAGCTAAGGGTTGTTTTGTTCCATGCTAATGCCATGTTCTTTGTAGGCCTGCAATCGATTGCCTATCTCTTCTATTGATCTCCAGCGAACAAAAATTTGGGAGGATCTATGTGGCTCTCCCACTGTTCCTGAATCACAGATTCCATCCCCTCCCTCATAGATCTGATGACACTGACAGAACAAGATCCAGAGGGTCAACCGATTGATTGTGAACTTCCTCATAAGCACAAAGTCCTTCTGCTTCTAAGGACACATGAGGAAGAGAAGTAGTACCCTTACGTACCACCATAATAAACCAGGGGTGTCTCCAACCTTGGCAACTTTTAAGACTTGTGCACTTCAGTGCCCAGAATTCCTGGCTGGCTGTGGAATTCTGGGTCTTGGAAGTCTGCAAGTCTTCAAGTTGCCAAGGTTGGAGACCCCTGCCATCAACCATGAATGCCTCTGCCTGGGCAAATTCCTCCACCATTTCCTGAAAGCTGAAGAGGGAGATAAAAGAGGTTGCCACTCATTTTCCAGAGAATGTGAATCTTTGGCTTGTAAGAATTAAGGGCAGCTGCCTTTTTGCGTTTGTGTTTCTTCATCTGCTCTGTGTCAACGCTGCAAATACTGTATATTCTTGCTTTGACAAAATATGCAAAACTGTCTGGTATTTTGAGAGTTAATGCAGAGCAGAGGAGGGAGGAGGGAAAAGCCCGGGAAACAGAAGGGAAGTGAATCTTTGCCCTTCAAGTTAATTGGAAGATGTGAATTATAACCCCAAAATAAGGGAGGGAAAATGCCTGGAATGTTATTAGTCAGACACATGACACTCTGCATCTTGCAGGTGGGTGGGGAATGTATATAATTCTAATACTGCAAAGGACTCTAGTGGGCGGATTCGAACCGTTCCCTTCTGTGTCTAAAGACGGGATGAAGTAAAATAAGAACATCACAGATCCTTGTGTCCAAGTCTGTGCTTCCAAACTCGTGTAAGGGGGAGGGGGGGAGGAGACGAGGAATAACCACCTGGGATGTGAGACAGTCCTTGATTTACGGCCACAGTTGAGCCCAAAATTTCTGATGCTAAGCAAGACAGGTTAAGTGAATTTTGCTCCATTTTACGACCTTTCTTGCCGCTTTTAAGCGAAACACTGCCGTTGTTACATTAGTAACACGGTTGTTAAGTGAATCTGGCTTCCCCAATGGATTTTGCTTCTCAGAAGATCACAAAAGAGGATCACATGACCCCAGGGGGACACTGCGACCGTCGTAAGTACGAGTCAGTTGCAGAGCATCTGAATTTTGATCATGTGATGCTGCAACAGTCATAAGTGTGAAAAAAGGTCATAAGTCCCTTCTGGGGCCGTTGTTAACTTTGAACATTCACTAAATCAGGGGTAGACAACCTCGGCTCTTTTATGACTTGTGGACTTCAACTACCAGAGGTTGCTCCAACACAAAACCTTTTTAAGAAGAGACTGGACAGCCATTTGTGTGAAATGGTATAGGGTTTCCTGCCTGAGCAGAGGGTTGGACTAGATGACCTCCAAAGTCCCTTCCAACTTTATTACTATTATTATTATTAAACGTATACCATAAAGTCTTTTAATATGTGAGAGGTGCTGATGGAGTGAACATTTGCCATCAATGGTAAAGACACCAAGGTGTGCTAGGAGATGGGGAAGTAGGACCTGAAGAGTCCTCAGAAACGGAGAAGGCACCAACAAGATCTACCTGTCACCAGGAAGCAACCTTATGTTGGTCCTAAGAGCTTCCTCAGTCAGGAACACACCCGGTTCCGCCTTCCAAAAGCTGGCTGGTCATCTTCATGGCAAGCAACAAAGGGATGTGGGTCTCCTGCTGGCTTATGTCCCCGGAGGATGGTCTGAGCACGAATTGAGCCACGCTGGGCATTTTCAGTAAATTCATCAGCTCTGTCGCCCGGGTTAGAATGGCCTCGGCTTCTTCGGCGCAGTAGACGGAGGACACGGCCGTGCTCTGGATGAATATCTTCATCTTAGACAGAAACAGGCAAACTCTGCAGAGAGGACCAGATAAGTTATACAGAAAGTCACTCGGAAGCAGCAACAATTGGTTTATAAAGAACCAAGTTCAGAGAGAAGCAACTGCTCCACAGATCCAGAGAGGGAGGGAGGCAGAGGGAGAGGAAGGAAGGAAGGGAGGAGAGAGAGAGAGAGAGAGAGAGAGAGAGAGAGAGAGAGAGAGAGAGAGAGAGAGAGACTGACTCATCGGGGACCATTCAAACCTGGGGATCAGGTCCTGGCTGCGAGAAGCTAGCTTGGTCAATGCGGTCATGAGGACAGCTATCACACGAGGGGACGACCTGGGGATGTTAGCTGAAGGGCGCAGCTGGGTGATCTCGAAAAGCATGGCTTCCAGAACGTCAAAGAAGGTGTTGATCTGCTCCACCGTGCAACGCTTATCGTGGGTCACCGATGCATATTCCCCAATTGCCCAGACCTAGAAGAGAATAGAAGAATGGAATGGAATGGAAGACCCTTGCCATAAAATGAGCTTAACAACTGTCAAAACAGTTGCCAAATTCACCTATCAACTGTGTTGCTTGGCCACGGAAAGTCTGGGCTCTGTTGCAGTCGTAAATGGAGGACTACCTGTAAACTCATTGGGTTGACTTGCTGTGGTGACCTGCCACTGTTCCACGGAGCAGCTTGGTAGGATATCAAAGGAACATAATCGTTAGCACCACCTCTCTTAGTGGCACAGCAGCAGAGAGGAACATGTAGTCTAGCCAGCTCAGAAAGATCAACGAATTCAAGAATGAATTTAGGTTCCCTGATGGAAAAAGGACTAGGGGACAATTTGGGGAGGGGGGGGAAGTCTCTGGGACATGCAGGTATCTCCTTACCACGTGAATGAAGAGGTCCTCCTTAGTCTGAATGTTGGACACCGTTCCCGAAAACTCCAGAAGTGGCTTGGACAGCTCCACCACCAAGGAGGGGTGTTGCTTGCATAAGACTCGTAGCTGGGAACCCATCACTCTACGGGGCAAAGGAAGAGTCTGAGAAAGTGAGGACGCTCTCCAAAGAGGAAGGGAGTTCCTGGCACATCCCCAAACCAAGATTCAAGCAGAGGACCAGAATTAACTCCAGTTTCTGAAGATGTTTGCAGTAGAAGCCGGTCTGAGCTGATCCCTCTAAAGCAGGGGTTCTCAACCTTGGCAACTGTCAAAACAGTTGAAGTCCACAAGTCTTAAAGTTGGCAAGGTTGAGAAGCAAGTCTAAAGCTCCTGTCTCTTGATTTAGAAAGTTCTGCCCCTCACCTGAACACCTCGGCCTTGAACCCAGGGATCTCGTAAAGCTGATCACTCCTCTCCAGGGCTGCCAAGGTCAGCTTCTTGGCAAGAGCTTCATCTGCAAACTGGGGAAGAAGCTCAGAAGAATCAGCCAGTTCATTCTTTGCCTTGCAGGATGATTGCAATACACTTCAGCAAACGTCTTTACCCTTGTCTTTTTTTGAGCTTGTAAAATAAAAAGGGCTAGAAAGGAAAGTTTGGGAGGGGGTCAATTCTCCTGCCTTTTGGCCTTCCTGCAGCCTTCACCCTTGTCCTTCATCAGAATAGACCCAGGATCATTGCAGCAAACCTGATGGGAAGGTTTTTCAGTGCATCTGAATATAATTTGTGGTCTTCAATGCAGCAGCCATTTAAAAAAAAATTAGCTCTTTTAGCAAAGACAGTGAGTTTTGCAAAGCCACACACTGGTACGCATGAAGCATTCCTTCCCTATTATTTACATCATGGTTAAGTATTATCACTCTCTAAGGCTGGTGCTTAATGCTGCAGATGTTGTCCAAGTAAACAAACCATGAATGTTGATTCTTGATGTATTTCAAGGGAAGAAATCCTGGATTAAGACCAAGAAAATCTGGGTTCAAATCAGGCTTGTTTTTATTTGATGTGGCCAGCAATGATCCAACTGGAATGAACAGTTGCTGGAATTGGGCATGTCTAGTTTAATGAAGAGAAGGACGAGGGGTGACAGGATAGCAGCGTTCCAGTATCTCAGGGGCTGCCCCAAAGAAGAGGGAGTCAAGCTATTCTCCAAAGCCCCTGAAGGCAGGACAAGAAGCAACCGATGGAAACTGATCAAGGAGAGAAGCAACCTGGAACTAAGGAGAAACTTCCTGACAGTGAGAACAATTAACCAGTGGAACAACCTGCCTCCAGAAGCTGTGAATGCTCCAACACTGGAAGTTTTTGAGAAGAGACTGGACAACCATTTGTCTGAAATGGGATAGGCTTTCCTGCCTGAACAGGGAGTTGGACTAGATGACCTCCAAGGTCCCTTCCAACTCGGTTATTCTGTATTTTTTAATTGGGAATGCTACAGCCTTGGCTGTTGAGCTGCCCTCAACACATCCCAGCAATAACCTTTTTTGGACCATGTGGCAAGGGGCGTCCTGCAGGTGGGATCTTACCTTGGACACCAACCTGAAGAAGAGCTGTAATAAGGGTGGGACGCTCCTGGCACATTGCCCAACACGAGGGTGGCTGGCCAGAGACCCCAAAAGCTGCCGGAGAGGAGTCAGCCTGCGGACAATCAAACAACTCACAATGCACACCACACAAGGCTGTGTAAATTAGTCACATCATTTTTTTTAAAAAGGCTTAATCTTGACGATACCTGCCAGGGTCACTGGGAGTGGTCTCAACCCGCAGGAGATAATGGAAGAGGCCCCTATATTGGGGGTGGCGGAAGGCTTCCAGGAAAGTGACAGGCTTTGTAGTTGGATCTATGGTGGCCCTCTCAGACAGGGGGGTCAGGACAGACCTAGTGAGAGATTTAAGAGACTGGAACCAGATGTAACAGTGGAACAACTTTGCCTTCAGAAATCATGGGCGCTCCATCAATGGAGATTTTTAAGAGGAGACTGGGCATTCACCTGTCTGAGACGGTGTAGGTTCTCCTGATTGAGCAGGGGGCTGGACTAGAAGACCTCCAAGGTCCCTTCCAGCTCTATTCCATTCCATTCTATTCCATTATTCTATTCTATTCTATTCTATTCTATTCTATTCTATTCTATTCTATTCTATTCTATTCTATTCTATTCTATTCTATTCTATTCTATTCTATCCTATTCTATTCTTATTCTATTCTATTCTAATTATTCCTATCCTATCCTATCTACCCTATTCAATTCACAACGTCTGGAGGACCCTCACAAGGATCAGCCCCTTCATTCATCCTTTGAAGCCTGTCTGGGCATTGTGATTTGCCCCTTCTCATAAAAAGCTTTCCCTCATCCAGTCCACCGGGGCCTAGACCTAAATTATGAGAAACCTCTTTGGATATTTCCACCACAACAACCAGAACAGAAATAGGCTTTTACAAGTGGATTAACAACCTTCCAGGTACCTGAGTTGGGTGTCCAGTGCAGCCGTTAAACACGGAAGGTCAAGCAACAAGTGGAAGATTTCCAAGGCGTTATCCGGACCGAGCAGGGCTGGTAAAAGATCTGTGTAATCAACAATCAGAGCCGGGCTATTCCAGGCCAAGAACTGCAAAGGGAAGCAAATGAGCGTCCATGCATGGGATCCATTTCTTGGGAAAATCTCAAGAGATCTAGGTTCTAAGAAGAAAGTAGAGCGGATCCAGAGAAACAGAAGCAGAAAAACAGAGAAAGAAATTCCCAAAAGGGAATTCTCTGTTCCCCGCTCGATGTTTATAGCGTCTGCTTCTCCTTGAGTTTTCAAAAAGCTCAGTTAAGACTCTTAAAAGCCCTGCTAATGTTTGAGTGGGTTTCCCAGGCCAAAATCACTGCCAGGCTTTTCCCTTTTAGCAACTTTTCTGGGGCTCTTGCCGGAATGTGGAAATTAGGTGACCTTAGATCAGTGTTTCTCAACCTTGACAATTTTAAGGCATGTGGAATTCTGGGAGTTGAAGTCCACATGCCTTAAAATTGTCAAGGTTGAG